TCCTCGAAGGGTCCTTGCCGCGGCCTGCGCGCCCGCCTTGGAAGGCAGGCCGTCCCGAGGAGCCTCTCCGTGGGCCGGCCCTTCCGCTTCGTCCCAGTCTGCCTTCTGCGCCTCAGGGCTTTCAAGGGGCTCTGCCTGGATCGGCCGCAGTAGCGCCGTCGGCCCCGGGCGCAGCGAGGGATGCGTCTCTGCGCCTGGCCAACCGCCCCCCACCGCTCCAACGCCGCGCGACCCTCTCACGGGCGCAGACACCCTCCGCGGACTGGCGCCCAGAGAGCAGGCCGGGCTTGCCCTCCGCGTGGCTTCCAGCAGCACAAGCGCTCGGGGACGCCTCCCTCGCCCGGCGCAAGAGGCGGCGCACGGCAAGCGGCGGTCCGAAGGCGGCCCGGGCAGCTCCGGCGCGAGGAATGCCCTTGCATCCGTGGAGGAGGACGCCCCGCGCCCCCTGTCCGGCGCGCAGGCAGGGGCGCCACGGGCCCCTCCCGACCCAGGGGCCACGTCCAGCTCCAGCGCAGCTCTTGGGGGCACAGTAGACGGTGGGCGAAGCTGAAGACACGCCAGAGGGGCCCCAACGCCCGAGATCCGCTGCCAGGGACCCCCCCTTGGGAAAGGCGCGTCAGCCGTTTCGACCTGGCCGGCGGAGCGGGCTGCGCAGAAGCCAGGAGAGCAGCGAAGGATTAGAGGGCCGGGGAAAGCAGCGAGTGCAGGGGAAGAGCCGGGGTAAGGCTGCCTGGAGAGGCCCCAAGGCCCGCGCGGCCTCCCGCTGCCGTGGAAAGCCCCGCAGGCCCGTGGCGCTGGCTCTTCCGGGTGGCCCAGGCGACGTGATCTTGGGCAGGCAGGAGGGCTCACTGGGAGGGCTCGTGGTGCGCGCAGGGCAGCCCCGAGACCCCGGATCCGTCCTCAGTGCTGCCTCTTAGCCGACGCTCCTGGCGTAGCCCCCAGGAGCGGGTGGCTTCAGCCCGGGGGGAGCAGTGACCCCCTTCAGGGTGGATCTAGAAGGAAAGGGCTTTGCTGGGAAGCTGCCTAGTTGTTAAACACTCTTCTCACTGCGAACAAGGTAGACCGAATTGCCTGAAGTGCACACTTGATGCGGACAAAATATGCGGACGTATTTTGAATGCATCTCGGTAATTTTATTTTTCCCTTTAGTTTTATGGTGTGTTTTAGCTATTTTAAATTTCGCTTTGGCTATAGGATGGCATAGACCTGAAAATAATAGAAGTGCCAATTGCATTGTTACAGCCGGTCTCTGATCTTCAGGCTGCAGCCCCCCAGTTGCCACTTTCTGGTGCTTTGAAAGGCACTCGTGGCGCGCCTGGCCTCTGGGAGCCCCAGAAGACCCCCGAGATGGGCCGGCTCGAAGGCCTGCAGCAAGCGGTCCCTCCTCCTCCTTAGACTCACAGGGACTCTTGGCTGCATTACTCTCATGCTAATCATCATTAATTGTTAGACGGGTGGCTGTCATCTCACAGAGCGGTAGTGCCAACTCAAGAAACGCCTGCTCAGTTTAAGTCTTGGAAAGCATCATTCCAATGAAGCTAATGTGACCCAAGTAGGCACAGACCATGCGTGCATTCCAGCCCTACCGCGGAAGTCCCCGCATTTAAGGCAGCTCACATATCCCACTAGAGGATCACGGGCCAATACGGGCTTAGGACTTCACGTCTGGGCTTCTCCGCCACATGCCGGAATCAGTCCCTAAAATCCAGCTTAGTAGCTCTCCAGTTGAGTTTGGGGGGAACCCTGCGCATGCATTGATTTATTTATTTACTTAAAACATTTCTATGCCGCCCCATCGCAACAAAGCCTCGGGGCGGCTCACAACACATTTCTCAGGAGCTTCTGGCCAGCTCCTTGGGGCGCCACTCGCCGCTCAGCCACAGTGCACCAGCGTCCTGGAAGTAGCTGCGCCCCCAGGAGGCCCACCTGCAGGGGAGCACCAGGTGCAGTGGCTGGCACACTCCCAGCCCAAGGGGGGCAAAGGTGCCCCCAGCAGTTCCGGCCCCAAGCCCACGTGGCCCACGCGCAGCAGGGCCCGGGCTCCGGTAGCCCCAGGGGTCACAAGGAGCAGGGTTCCTGGGGCGAGGCTCAGAGGAGGGCCCGGGAGCTGCGGGCTGCCTCCTGGGAACACTCGAACACCGAAGCACCGCGGCAAAGCAGCCCCGGTGTGGTCGCGCCCCTGCTTGGCACGCACGCAGGCAGGGCCCTTGACCCGGCCAGGCGGCCTCTTCGCCGCAGGCGTGCAGCCCAAGGAGGCGGCTGCGGGGGGCAAGCTGCTGGCCCTGCGCTGGGGGGCAGCATCCCTTCTGGCGGGGCGGGCCAAGGCGGCTGCTTCTCCTGCATCCGGAGAGCATCTCAGGGGGGGGGGGGGGCAGCGGAACAGTGCGGCCACAATGCACAGCACTTGCGGTGCCACACAGAGCCGGAGGCGGCCTGGGCGCGGGCGGGTTCCTGCGCGGGGCACATCCGGGTATTTCGGGAAGTCGCTGGGAGGGGTTTGGAAGCTCCCTGCCGTCACTCCGCACGGGATGTAGGACGGTTTTCTGCTACCGGACCTTCCAGTCCAGGTGCCCCCATGATGTGGCCCCTAACCTGACCCTCGCCATGTACACGGATGCTGCTGCTGCTGCTGCAGGTTGGCAGACTCTCCCCACCTGGGCTTGGAGGCGGCCAGGCCGGACGAGGAACGGGCGCAGAAGCGCGGACGGACCTCGAGCAAGACCAAAGCGACTGTCGCAAAGCGGCCAGACCGAGCGCTACGCCGGGCCGCAAGGCCGGATCCAGCCCCAGACCTGGGTGCCCGGAGGTGCAGTAAGTGGCCAGGTGCGGCGGGCGGCGTGGGTGGAGCTTCACTGCACGCAGCCCTGCCTGGACCTTAGGGGAATGCTTCCTCGCTTCCCAGGGGGGACTGGCTCCCCCTGAGCTCCCCGCTTCTCCGGCCCCCCCCCCCCCCCACAGCTGGCACAGAATTCCAACTCGGAACGGCCACTGGCTCTTCCTCTTCCCACCCCTCCCCTTTTCCTAGGTTTGTGTCCAAGTGCCTCGTTTTTAAGCGGAGCCGGCCGGCCCGTTTCATTCTCCGCAGTCGTTTTGCCGACTGGATAGCCATGGCAGAGCACACGTCCTCCACCCGCCGCCCTGCCTTCTGCTCCCTCCCAGGGACAGCAATGACCCCCCCCCATGTGATATCCTCCCTCCACTCTGCAGGCAGTGATTCGGTGGAGGGACCTGTCCTCTGGACACGCTCAGAGGCAGCCTGGGCTCTGGCTTGCCCATCCTGGGCGGGGCCCCAAGTCCAGAGCAAGCACCGGGCCGAGCAAGTCTCGCCCCCAGAAGCCAGCCGGCCCCGGCCTTCCCCTTACCTGCAGGCAAGCGATTCGATTTGCACCCCGGCCCCGGCCCCTCCTCCGAGGAGGACCGTGCAGAAGACCTCCCCCCCCCGCACCACCTGCGCCTCCGCCCACCTGCTAATGGAGCCATCTCAGCCGAGTGACACTAATGGGTCTGGGGCCCAGCGGAGGGGGGGGGGGCTCGCGTCCATTAGCCGCCTAAGCAACCACGGCTCTGGCATGAATGGATAATGGCTCTATTAAGGAAAAAGTACACAAGCACTTTTGAAATGGAAGGGGGAGTGGAGAGAAGCGCTCCCCGACGGAGAAGGCGCCCCGGCCCTGGGCGGCCCTGGCAGCTCCTGCGCCGAGCGGCCCACCCGGGGCCGCCCACGCCCACGAGGGAGCTGGGCAGGAGAACGGGGCGCATGCAGGCGACCCCCCCCAGGGAGGCGGCCAGGGACTGCACTCGGCTCCCACCGAGGCTGACCAGGCGCCCGACAGAAGCAGGACACGGGGCGGCCTGGCAGGAGCTCACGCCGGGAACCACGTGCCACGGGGCCCAGGCGCTTTGGCCACTCCAGGCGGGGAGGCCCCTCCTCGTCACCCGATCCCTGCCGGGGGCCCTGAAGCACGCCAGGGACACACGCAAGCGGCTGCTCCCGTGTCCACGTCGCCGGCGTGGGCTTCGCCTTGGGCAGCTGAGCTGGCCGGCCACACGGGGCCTTGGGGTGGTGCAGCTCCGGGCTCTCCGGACGTCCTCGGCTGACCCTTCCAACGGTAGGCACCCTCGGGGAGGAGCACGGCACTTTGCGCATGCCGAGCACGGGACGCCGCAATGCCGCCACGGTCCCGGGGGCCCCCTCATCCAGACGCCCACTTTTTACGAAGCCGTGCGACAGCAGACGGTGCGCCTGCCGGAGGCCCCGTCTCCCTCCGCCCCCCCCACCCCCCTGCAAGCGCCAGGCTGGGGCCGAACCCTCCCGCGGGCTGCACTTTGCCTCTCCCCACGCGCTGGGGGCTGAGCCTTCCTCCACCACGCCCCGCAGCCGGCTTGCCCTCCGCCGCCCAGCCCTTCCTCTTCCTCTTCCCCTGCCTTCCGCCCAGCACCCTTCCCGTCCACAGCCACACCTTCCCCCATCGCAGAGTGATCATGGGGGGGGGGGCTTGTGAATCCAACCCCTGCTTGTCGTGGCCCTCCAGAGCTGGGGGCTGCAGCCAGAAGGGGCCGAGTGAGAGCGGGGGGCTGCTTGCCGTTTCTCAGCAAGGAGAGCAGGGCCATCGTAAGACGGTGCCCCACCTTTCCCAGGGCCGGCGCCCGTCTGGGACGGAGTCTCGGGGGACCGCGCACCTGAGGCTGTGGCTGCCAAGCACTTCGCCACGGGGCCACCGCGCCAGAGGCCCTCCCCCAAGCCAGCGCAGCCCCCAACACGCGCGGGCGAGAGCGCAGCAGGCGAGGCTTGGGACCGGCAGGGACCTCCTCTGCACCCAGGGCTCTTCAGAGGCTCATGGGCCGGGGCCTCACCGGGCTCTGGAAGAAGGACCCTGCCAGCCTCCTTCCCCAGCTCCCTCCGCTCCGAATCGGCGCCAGTGAGGTGGCCCTCTGCCAAAGCCACGCCTTGGCTCTTGGATGCCGCAGAGGCGGCGGCAAGGAAGCACCGGAGGCGGTCGTTGTTCTTGTTAATGCTATTATCCTGGCAAGTCAGCCACACAGAGCAGCTTTGCATGAGCGGGATGGACTCGGGGCGCTCCCCCCGATGCCCCGCACGCCGCAGGCGGGGGGCACCCAGCGCGCCCGCCCTGGTACTCCCAGGCAGCAGCTGGGCAACGCCGCCACTCGCCCGCCCGCTTCCCCATGCCCAGAGGTGTCTGTGCAGCGGCCGGCCGGCCGGCATCTCCGCCCCCCTTGTAATCCGGCTACGCTTCGGCAAAGGCTACCGGGCCTCCCGAAAGGGCGAGGAAGACGGACGGAAGCCGAGCAGTGCAGGCCGCTGGCCGTGGAAGGAGGCGGCGGCGGAGGGTCTCTCCCTGCCGGCACACTTGGCCTCGCCAGACGCTGGGCGCGCGCGCTCCACCTCTCCCTCCTCCGTCCGCCGGCACCCGCAACACGTCCCCATTCCTCTCGGTTTGTCCAGCACGGTGTGTCCGTTTTGGGCAGGGCTCGGGCGGAAGGAAAGGCTCCGAGCTGACCCCATGAGTGCTCGAGGGACCTCGCTGCAGGCCTCGCGCCAGGGAGGGCCCCGGGGCCCCTCAGAGTCAGCAGAGACGCAGAGTCGGCAGTCTGTGGGTCTGGAGACCACGCCTCCCGGGACTCCGGGGTCCAGGCTCAACCCGGCCGGGCGGGGAAGCGGGCAGCTGCTGGTTAGCGCTTGCGTCCGGCTCAGGACACTCCCCTCCCCGCAGAGATGTGGGCCCCATCGGCCGGCGGGCCCCTCCGGAAGCCGTTCCAGTCTGCAGGGCCGCGGTCTCCTTGGCCGTTCCAGTTGCGTGGCTTGTCCGGGAGCCACGTCCCAAAAGCCGTGCCGTGTTTCCGAGAACCCCCCTCCCCGCCCCGCTGGAGCTGCCGGGCACCTCCTGATCTGGAGTCCAACTCCGCTCCCGGCCTTTGTCAACGAACCTGCAGACGGAAAGCAGAGCGAGCTGAACCGGGCGGGACGCGAGCAGGGGGAGGCCCTGCCCGAGCGGGGTGCTCCAAGGAGACTTGGGGTGCAGCTCAGGCATGGGGGCAAAGCCGGCCCCTGCAGCCCCCCGGGAGGCCCACCCAGGTGCTGGCTCCACCCCTCTTCCCCACCACCAGCTCTAGCGTGCGCTCCCGGCCTTCCTGCATCCCCAGCACCCGCTTCGTAAGATGCAAACGCCACAGCCATTCCTACAGACTGCCGATTAGCCCTCCCGTGTCCTGCATGCCCCCCGCCCCCACTGGCTCCCCGGCAGCCAGGCCCCCCCCCCCGGGTTCCCAAATACTCCGGGGCCGAACTGCAGGCACAGCACTGCAGCCACGCTGCCCCTGGGAAGGCCTTCAAAAAAGAACGCAACCACGTCGCTTCTTCCAGCCCCGGAAAGGGCCGCAGGACCACTGGCAGCTCAGGCCCAGGGAGACGGTTACCTGGCGTGCACGCTCCCAATTTCATACCTCCCGAAGAAGCTGCAGAGAAAGAGGAGGCAGAGTCAAGAGAAAGGAGCCGCATTCTTTGGCAGTGCTTCTAGTCCTCACGCACAGGACAGGAGGTTCCCTTGGGCATGTTAAGGAAACAACCCCAGCCCGCAGGATCGCTTTCCTGGCCGCCTCCTGCTCAAGGACCAGACCATCTCCATGCCAGAGTGACGCTCAAGCCACCGCCGGCTTCCTGCAGGGCAGGGGCTGGGAAGCAGAAGGTGGGGTGCAAGCCCCACCGGTTGGAAGGGGGCAATGCCCCTGCCCCTTCCAGGCTCTGCAGCCTGACTAAGCCTCAGTCCCGGGGCGGGACAGGCCCCCCCTGGACCCTGCAGCACCGGCTGTCCTCGGCGCAGCCCAGGGCACTGTGCAAGATGGGCCTGGTACCAGGATGCAGAAGACAAGGCCCCACAAGCCCACGGTCCTGGGACCCAACCGGGGGCCCTCTGTGTGCAGGGCTGCAACTTCCGTGAAGACCCAGAGCCGTGGTGGCGGACCCCTTCTGTCGGCTCGCGAGCCAAGTCACCCAGGATTCAACCCAGCAGCCAAGCATTGGATGACAGCGCACAGAGGGGCCATGCGCATGCTCAGAAAGGAGGAGCGGCGCCAGGCGATGACGTCACGAGCCGTGACTCATTAGCAACGACTGGGCCGAGCTTTCGCATGACCAGTCAGTGTGCTGCCGTATATTTCCTTGGACTGGCTGTGAGTTGTTTTCCCTAAACTAAAACCTCAGTTTTCAGGTTTTAGTGCAGTGTTGGCACTTTGCGATAAATAAGTGGGTTTTGGGTTGCGGTTTGGGCACTTGGTCTGTAAAAGGTTCACAATGACTGGGTTAGGATTCAAAAAGCAAGGTGTCCTGGCATGATTTTGATGGTTGGAATCTGTTTAGAAGGGCCAGAAATGATGAGCTGTGCAGAAAAAGCTACTCAAGAAAGGCTTTTTCAAAATCGCATCATTCTCAATTGAACCTTAGCCCTGTATTAGGGTTAGGGGTGTGCACCAGGGTAGGGTTAGGGTTACAAAAACATGGTGTCATGGAGTATTTTTGATGGTTGGAATGTGTTTGGAATGGGCAGAAATGTTGACCTGCGCAGAAAAAGCTACTCAAGGAAGGTTTTTTTTTTTAAATATCATTCTTTTCAGTGGAACTTTAGCCCTATGTTAGGGTTAGGGGAGTGCACCAGGGTAGGGTTCGGGTTAGAAAAACGAGGTGTCCCAGCATGGTTTCGATGGTTGGAATGGCTTAGGATGGGCAGAAAGGATGAGCTGTGCAGGAAAAGCTACTCAAGTGAGGCTTTTCCAAAATCTCCCGCAGAAAGTGGCCAGGAACCCAGGATGCAAACTCACGCCTTTAGCAGCGGAAGGCAAACAGAACGCCTAGGAAGCCCCCCATGGCAGAAGGGGGAGCAGACTGAGCCCTGGGGGAGCCTCCAGGGTTTGGACTGCAGCACCCCCGAGCCCCAGCCTGGGATTCTGGAAGCTGCAGCCCAAGCTCTGGGAGGGCCCCAGGGTGTCTGCCTCTGCCTGGCCAGGGCCCCACAGCAGCTGCCCCCACATGCACGGATCCTGACCGCCTGGTCAGCGCCGCGGCGGAGGATGCAGGGCGAGACGCGAGCTGCCCCAGCAGCCTCCGCTCCCACCAGCCCTGGGAGCCGTCGCCCAAACTCCCGAGGGCGGAGGAAGGCTGCCCTGAAGGGGGGGGCCAGACGCCGCCTGCCAACACGGCGAGTCCTGGCTCCGGCAGGTCGTCCCGCCTTTCGCCGGCAGACGGCGCCACTCGCGGCCCCCGCCCTCGGCTTCGCAGCCAGAGCCCAGGGCCCGCCCGCCCGGCCCACCACAGGCGAGGCTCCGGCCCCACTCACCGCCACAGGGTCAGCCGCGAAGGCCGCCACGCTGTTCCTCATTTCGTTCTCGGTGCCTCGCAGCGGGATGAGCGAGAGGTTCCCCAGCCGGGAATCCTGCTGAGTCCGGGATGCCCGAACCTTGGAAGACTCCGAAGGCCAAATGTTGCCATCGTGCTGGGAAAGCAAGAGGAGAGGCTGTGAAGGAGAAGCCACGGGGGCCAAGGACATCCCCCTCGGACGGCCCTTGCTGAGCCCGTCTCAGCGCCCCGTCGCTGCTGTCTCCCGACCCCCTTCCTTCTCACGCTCCTCCTCCGTCTCTTTGTAGGCCGCCTTTCCATGGAAAACCGTCCCAAAGCAGCTCAGGCCAACGTCACTTACTTCCCCAGTCAAAATATGGAAACATTTTGAAGAAACAATCACCCACAAATCAGAACAGTTTAAATATTGATGCACACAAAAGCATCTCTTGGTAACAAACAGGAGAATCAAGCAGCCCGAGGATAACGAGGCCCAAGTCGAACGAGCAACTGCCCGGCACCGACTGGCTTCCCTGCCTTCCAGCCCGGCGCTCCCTCACAGGAGCTCCTGCCCTGCAGCGGCTGCTCGGACGCCCTCGCTCGGGCAGGATTTGAACCCCAGCCCCGGAGAGCGGTGATGCTGAGGGGGCTGCAGAATCCGCAGGCCAGCGTGCAGCTTCTTGTGCCCGAGCCCGGAGGAAGTGGGGAAGAGGGCGACCGACGGCCCAGGGGCTGCACGAGGTGGGGGAAAGCATCCCACGGGGGCTCGGGACCCCCCCCCCCCCCCGTCCAGCCCAACGGTTACCTGCACAAAGAGGAAGGTGGCGAACCAGGCCCGCAGCTCCATCTGAGTGTCACAGCAGAGATACCTGGCAAGGAGACCAGCGCGGGGAGGCGGGATCAGCGCCAGCAGGTTCCAGAAGAGCCGCCCGCCCGCCCGCCCGCCCGCCCTCTGCTTCCCCTGCAGCACGGCTGCCTGCCAGGCAGGAGAGGCTGTTAACACGAAAGCCAGCTCAGGCAGAAATCCCCGGGTGGGCACAGAACATGACAAGACACGGACGGCTTGCGGCAGGCGGCTTGGCTCGCTCGCTTCCCATCAGCGCTGCCTCGTCGGGCGCCTTGTGGCCAGCAGGAACTGCCCCGGGGGCAGGCGTGTGCGGCCAGGGGCCTCGGGAGGAGGCAGAGCTCCCCGGGAGTGGGGCCCGAGCCGGAGCCAGGACAGCCACGGATGGCCCAGTGGCTCTGGGGGCACAGGACTCCCGGCCGCAATCGATCGCGGCGGGCCCTGCGGAAAGCCTCTGGCCCGAGGGGGGGTGAGGACTGCCCTGGAACCACCCCCCCGCCTCATGCCCGCCAAACAGGCGCTTTGGATCAGCTCCAGGTCGCCCGGCCAGCATGGCCACTGGCCAGGGACGCTGGGGGCCTGAGTCCCACGTCGTGGGGTGATGCCAGGCTGGGGCAGGCTGCTGACACTGAGGAACGGACGGGGCGCCCCCCCCCCCGCACCCCAGCCCAGCCCAGCCCAGCGCCATGCGCCACAGCTGTCCCGCGGCTCCTCCGTCATCACGCGGGCTGGGCAGGGGCCGAGCCAGTGCCCGGGGTCAGGAATGGGCAGGAGGTGGAAGCCAAGTGGCCGCCCGACGGCGACTCTGTGGGGGGGGCACTCTGGTCCAGGGGCGAAGGCGGGCCCTGTGCTAGCCAAGGGGTGCTCCCCGGAACGCGTGGGCTCGCCGCTTTGGGGCGATCCCGGACCGCTCCGCCGCAGCAGGGGGGGGGGGCGGCAGTAAGGGCGCCTTGAGTCTGGCAAGCCCCTGCCCACCGAGCCCGCTGGGCGCCCCTCTTCCCGCCTCATCGCGCCCCGGAGCTCGCCCAGGCCTCCCTGACCGACGGAGCTGCAGGCGAGCGCACACGCCTCGTTCCCAGCAGGAGGGTGTCGACCTGCCCCAGCCCCTCTGCTTTTGCTCAGGGGAGCCCCACTCTTCGAGGCTTCTGCAGGAAACACCAGTGCTGCCCCGATTTCTCCTGACCGGGACGCTCACGAGCACGGATGCGCATCCGTGCACCGGGCCGGAGTTCCGGCCTCTGCGTAGGCGTGTGAGCCACACACCTGGCGTCCTTGCCAGGAGGACCCCGGCCCCCCACCGCCATCGGCCCCAATCCGTACGCGAGACGGCGGCTGTGCCTGTACGCGGCCGCAGCTCCAACCGCTCTGGCCCTCCCGCCGGCCTGCGCAGAGCCTTACCACTGCTGCTTCTCCACCCTCTCGTTCTCGAAGAAGACCGTGAACCCCCAGCTGCGAGAGAGGAGCACAGGCGCGTCTCAGGCAGGGCAGCGCAGCGCAGCGCACGGCACTCTGGGCCCCACCGGCGCGCCAGGGGCGTCTCTGTGCGCACACATGTGCAGGCGTGCGTGTTGCTACGGGGAAATGGCTGGGGCCAGTCTGCCCTCCGGAGCCAGGAAAACTTGGACGGTGGGGAGGGGCCAGGGGGCTGGAGGGGCGCAGGAGCGGCAAGCATGCCCTCCAGGGGCCCTCACTCTCGCTCGCTCGCACGGCCCCCGATGGCCGCGCAGCAGAGTGAATGGCTCCACCCTGCTGGAATTACCGGCTGCGTTCCACCCGGCAGGGCCAGAAGCCGAAAGCTAAAAAGCCGCGGCAGCATCGTGCCATCCAGGGGAACGCCGGGGGGGGGGGGGCTGTGGCAGCAAAGCGCAGCGCGCATGACGTCCGGGAGGCGGCCCGAGGGCGAGCAACCCCCGGGCTCTTCGGCCAGGGCCCAGGCCCCCAGGCCCACTGAGAAGGGGCCGCGACAGACTGGCGGGCGGGTTGTGCCTCCCCAGGAGAACGGCTGGGGGCGAGCCCCAGGGCACCGGGCGGCCTGCCCGCTGGAATGGCGCGCCTCGAGCCCGGCACAGCCCCGCGCCCTCGCCCGCAGTCCACACTGTCCGGCGGCAAGCCCCAGACCGTGTGGGGGAGCACGAGGATGCCCCTCCAATCCCGCCCCACGGGGCCCCCACTGGCACCCCAGTGCGCTCTCCGCCGTGGCCCTCGGGCTAACCGGGCTGGAGGAGGCGAGGCCGGCGGCAGCTGAAGCCCCTCAGCTGGCAGCCTGCGGCTCTGCTGCCCCGAGGCCTCCCAGGAGAGGAGCGGTGTCTGGGCACGGACCGGGCGCCCGCGTTGCCTTGAGCCGCTCTGCCCCCTGGCGGCCGAAGGTGGGCACGCTTGCGGAGGAAGCCCTGGGCCCTGCGCCCAAGCAAGGGGGGCAAAGGCAGCGGGGGCCGGACCCAGGGGGTCCCCCCAGACTTCAGGGAGCAGCCCCCCCACAGCGGAGGGAGAGCCGGTGGAACCGGTGCGGCAGCAAGGAAGAAAACCGAGGGAAGCCCTCCCCTGCCCGGAGCCCAACGAGGAGCGTCGGCCCGGCCAACGGCGCCTGCACTCCGGGGAGGCCCCGCCACGTTCGGGGCACAGAAGGGACCCCCCCCGGCATAATGGGGAAGAAGCGCTGTAAATGCGCCCCCCAAAATGCACGCTTGCTGAGCAGGCGCTCCCGGGCTTGCAGTTAATCATAATTCGTTACGGGGCTGCTCCGTTTTATTCTTTGGGTAGTGCTTTCATTCTGATAAAATGGCTGAAATTGTTCTTGATGGTGCATTTTACACTGTGATTTCCATAGTATCACACGTGAGCCACTTGGGGATTTAGCGGTGCGATCCTGCACATGTTTAGACAGGAAAGAGGCCCTCCAGGCTGGGCCGGCGAGAGGCTGCGGGATTTTCATGGCTCTGGAGAGGCCTGGGGCGGCACTCCTGCCGGGCCAGGCAGCGCGAACAAGAGCCAAGCAAGCTGCGTGGCTCCGGAGCGCCATGAGGACTCTGCCCACCGGAGGGCGGCCTGCAGCGCTCTGCACGAGCACGCATGACCAGAGCCAGGCCCGCAGGCGCACTGCGCACTCCCCGTGGAAAAAGACAACGCGGCACCACCCGTTCGGAGAGGAGGCAGCCTCCGCTGCACCCCAGCATGAGTTCCTGCTCAAGGAGGGGCTCCTCCCAGTGCAGATCGAGGACTCATGCAGGAACGCACGGGCAGAGAGCTTCCCCTCCCCCCAGGCGATGTAAATTCAGGTAATGCCACGCACGGCATTCCGGGCCACGGCAGCCCAGCGGAAGAGGCCCGGCCGCCGGAGCTCCGCCCAGGGCAGCTCACCAGCTCGGGGGACGGACTTTCTTCTTGATGCCCAAGTAGATCTTCAGGTTCTTCACGGGCCACTCCTTCTCCGGTTTGTGGCTCTGGAGAGGCGAGAGGATGCAGTCGGGCAAGGCAAAGCCGTCTCCTGATCCGGGGGTGCGGACGGCCCCCGTCTGCTTTGTCCGGGGCGCCAAACGGCCTCCATCCCCCAGGCAGCTCAGGCAACCCCCCACCCAGGGAGGGCCCCCCAGCACTCCGAGCACAGTGCCACGGCCGGGGGGGGGTGGGCGGAGAGCTGCGGCCACGTACCCGGACCTCCTTGTAGAGGCGCAGGCAGCTGCTGTTCAGGATGAAGTAGCGGTCGTGGAAGCCGGTGCTCAGCCCCAGGCCCAGCACGTTCTTCTCCTCGCGGAACTTCATCATCCCGTGCTTGCTGTCGCCCACCCTGCTGGCTGGGGGGCAACGGGCAGGTTGGGGGCCGGCGGCACGGGGAGCGTGCTGCCGCCCGACCACCCGGCGGGCTCCCCTGCTCAGCGCCATCCGGCCCGGCCCCCGCGAAGGGCTCCCGGCACCCCTGGCCAACACGGCCGGCACACCCGGGGGGTGGCCGCTGCGGGCACCCCCCTCCCACGCCGCCCACGAGCCACCGGCACGGAGAGCGAGCCCCGCTTCCCTCCGGCCGCGCGGGGACTCGGGCCCAAGCCGGCTTCCAGCCCAGCCGCCCGGGGACCGCCCGGGGCGGGGGCGGGGGGGGGGACATGCCTGCGCCTGCGCCACCCACCTAGGTACAGCAGCATGTTCTCCATGGAGAGCTGTCTCTTCACCACCAGGTAGCTGTCCTTGCCCAGGCTGTGCATGATGGGGAGCACCTTCTCGTGGTAGTGCAGCGGCCGCTCTGCGGGCGAGCAGGGAGGGGGCCGGGAAGCAGGCGGGCCAGGGCAGCCGGGCCCCCCGAGGCCGGGCCCCCACCCCCAACGCTGCAGGGCTGGCCTCGGGTGCAGCGGGAGGGTCCCCGGCAGCAGCCCCCGACAAGGGCCTGCTCCACCCACCCACTGCGAAAAGGGAGCAGCGGCGGGCTGGGCCTCGATGGGGGCCCAGCCAGGGGGGCCCCGGCGCAGGAGGCGGGGGCGGGCCCCGGGGCGCTGGGGGCCCCTCTGAGGGTGCGGATGCCGCTCCACCGGCCGCGGACCTGATGGGGGGCCGGCGGGGAGGGCGCCTGCGTGGGGCTCGCCCCGGCCCTGCTCCGCAGCCACTCACCCGCCTCCTCCCGCTCGTTAACTTCGAAGCAGCTCCAGAAGTCCTTCTCCTTCATGACGATTTTCCTCCGGTCCAGGATCTCGAAGGTCAGCTCCTCCGCCGTCATGGTGGCAGGGATCTGGGGGGGGGGCGGACGCGAATCGTGAGCCCCACCCCAAGGGCTTCCCCGCGAGGTTTGGCGTGGATGGGGAGAGGTGGGTTTGGGGAGATTCCTGAACTGGGCCTTGGGGTGGGGGGGGGAGCTTTGCCTCCCCTCTGCTGCTACAGGCACAGTCCCGCCCCACCCGGTGCCCTCACTGGACTACAGCTCCCATCGTCCCTCAGCCAGCCATGCTGAGGGGATTCGTAGTCCCACACCTCGCCAGGCCAGGAAGGGCTGCTCGGGACCTTCCTCCACCTGCCCCCATGTTCGGGGCACCTGTCCGTCCCAGGGGAGGCTGCGAGGCTGCCCACGGCCGGGCTCTGGGAGGCGAGAATGCCCCCCGGAGCCCCCCACACACACACACACCTTGATGTGCTGCTCGGCTTCCGTCTTCTTCTCCTCCAGGTACACCGTGCAGATGAAGTCCCCAGCTGGCTGCGGGGGAGAGCGGAGAGAGTGACGGGCGCACGGGGGGGGCGCACGGGTGGGGGCCGCCCAGGGGGGGGCAGGGACCCACCTGCATCCCGCCGGAGGAGACCACGCTGCGCATCTTCATGATGGCTTGGATCTCCTCGTGCTGCTTGCGCATCTCCTCCTCGTCCACCTGCAGCCGGAGTGGGGAAGGGCCCCGGGGGCAAGTCACGCACGGCCGAGGTGCCACGCGGCCACGGCGCCCTCCGGCCCCCCCGCCAGCGCTCCCCCCCCCGGGACGGAGACTCGAGGTCGAGCGGGGCAGCCGGGGAAGGGGGGCGTGTGGGGCGGCTCGGCCACAGCTCTCCATCGATGTGCCGGCCGCTCCGGGCGCCGTTTCGCAGGACAGACGTGCAGGGGCTCTCCTTGCCCCTGTGCCCCGATTCTGGCCCTGCCACCGCGGGCCCCCTCCCCACCCCGTGCGCCTTCCCCGAAGGGCTGAGGGCCCCCGGCCAAACCTACGCTGAAGATGTCCCGGTAGTGCCCGATCAGGTCCTCCACCACGCGCCCGGCCTTGTAGTCCTTGCCGTCCGTCTGGAAGAGCGTCGGCCCGAAGACGATGGCCAGGTTGTGGGTGCTCATCTGGTTCAGGTCGGAGGCGCCCTGGACCCTGCAAGGGAGCCGTGCCTGCCCGTCAGCCTGCCCGCCCGCCCGCCCGCCTCCCCGGCCGAGGGGCGCGCTTCGGGCAGGGTCTGGGGGCGCCACGCTGGCCCGGGCCTCGCAGGGGCAGGCCCGGGGAGGCCCGGGGAGGCCAGGTGGCAGTGGCGGGAGCCCCTCGCCCTCCCGGGCCTTACCGGTACAGGTGGTTGATGAGAGCCTTCAGGGTGGCCCGGTTGACGGGCGGCAGGCGGTCCAGGAGGTCCCGGTACCGGCTGACCTTCTCCACGCTGTCCTCCAGGGCTGCCGGGTGAGAGCGCACAGGCCGGGAGGGTCACGCGGGCCCCCATCTGCAGCCGTGCCTCCAGGGGAAAGCGCCGCTGCCGTGAGCCCCCCCCGGGGGAAAAGGACAGGGGCCCCCCCACGGCTCCGAGCTGCAACCTGGGACAGGTCCAGCAAGCCCCGGGGCCCCCTCCCGCTTTGGGGGAAGGGGGCTGCAGAGGGTGGGGAGCAGGCACGCGTCCCGGAAGAGGAACCGGCGGGGGCTGCCTGGGTTAGCGCCTTCCCCAGCCAGGGGCCTTCCAGATGTGCCAGGCTGCCGCCAGCTGTGCTGCCTGGAGGCTCCGCTCGGAGTCGGAGGCGCGTAGAAATGCAGCAATAAACCAGTCGAGGGCCTTGCGTCTGGGGAGCACCGTGTTGGGGAAGGCTGGGCAGCCATACCCAGCCCAAGACGCCCGGCGGGCTACTTCCCGGGAGCGGCTGTTTGCGGGGAAGCGTCTGCACATGGTTGATTTTTAAAGGGCTAACGGGAAACGCCCGGGAGCCTCCACGGCACGGGGCGGGAGGCAGCTCTCCGGAAGGCCCAGACCCCGAGTGTGGCCGGCAGCCGATCGGGCTGCTCCCGCAGGGCCTGCCCCCCCCCCCGGCCGGCCGGCCCCCGCCCTGGCGCACACGGGACCGGGAGGAGGGCTCGGCAGCGAAGCCCCCGCTGGGCCCCGGGCGAGCGGAGGTGGAGGGGCCCCGCAGCGCCTCACCGGGAATTTTCAGCCAGGCCTGGGCGTGTTCCTGGGTGAAGAGCCCGTCCCCGATGCCGCGGAAGAACCTCTTGAGCGTGTTCGCCACGTCGTCCACCTGGTGCTCCCCTTCCCGGAGCCGGACGCTGCGCGCGTCCCTCCGCAGCACCTCCAGCAGGCCGGTGGTCTTGGAGTTCTGCCCGCTCTTCCGGTAGATCCCCTCGGAGGTGAGGCCTGCGGGAGGAGCGGCGGCATCGAGGCGGCTGGACGGGGCCAGGGGCAGCGCCGTGGAGGGGCGCTCGGAGGCTGGGCGGGGAGCCTCCCGCCTGGGGCTGAATCTCCCCCAGGGGGCAGATCCGGAAGGCCGCCCTTCGCGCCCTTTCCTCCGGCCGCAGGTGATGCCCCGGCCTTCGCCCACAGCGCTCCCCATTCCAAGAGGCTGGCGTGGCCACGGCTCCCTGTCGGGCAGCACAGGAGCTTCCGGGTGAAACAGGCAGGTGCTTCTCTTTCGTTTTGGCCGGTCCCTTTGCCTTCCGCTTCCCCCACGCCCAGAACGTGGCCCCGGGGAGCAGCTGCGACACTGAGTTAGGCCTCCCGATGGAACAAGCCCTGCTCCCGCCGCCCCGCAGCCCCCCAACTGGGGCACATGAACATGCTCCTGATTGTCAGCGGTCAGTTGCTGGCTGCGCTCGCCCTGCAGGGACCCCACGGGGAGAAAGCGGAGGGCTGCCCCCTCCTCCCCTGGGCCCACCCCCAAGGGGCCGCGCAGAGGAGGCGGGGAGCTGCCGGGCGCCACCTCAGCCCCGTGGCCCTCCCAGCTCGGGGCGGGCGGCACGGACGGGCAGCTGCAGCTCTCCAGACGCCCTCCCGGCCCCCCCCGGAGATGCCAGCAGGGGCCCGCCTTGGGCCCTCCGCAGACCAGGCGGGTGGCTCTGCCAGGGCCACGTGGCCCCTGCCCACGTACCGCACTGCGTGATGTAATCGATGCACCTGTCCACGATGACGGGGATGTCCGTGTCCGTGAGCTGCTGTTCGGACAAGGTGTCCCCAGAGCTGCCGGCAGCCTTCTGGATGGCGCTGACCCACCCCAGGAAGTCCAGTTTCCTCTCGCCTTGGATGTACAGCGTCCTGGGGAAGGGAACCGGGGCAGGGAAGCAGGAGCTGGCCGCATCAGGGGGCTCCCGAAGCGGGGAGCTTGGGGTGCCCCTGGACCCCAGACTGTCGCTCGTTCTGCAGGCGGCCCCAGTGGCCAGCAGCGCCGTCTATTGGCTTCGGCCGATTTTCCAGCTACGTCCCTCCTTGGAGGAGCGGAGCGTGGCCACAGTCATCCGTGCGCTGGCAACCTCTCGCCTGGATGCCTGTAATGCGCGCTGCATGGGCCGCCTTGAAGACAGTCCGGGCACTTCAACTGATCCAAAGCACAGCAGTGCGGCCACTGACAAGGACTGGTCCCAGGGAGCGCATCACGCCGGCCCCCCGCCAGCTTCACTGGTTGCCTGTTCCTGCCCAGGCCCAATCCAAAGCGCTTACGCTTCGCCCAAAGCCCTGAATGGCGCGGGACCAGGATACAGAAACAAAGAAAGAGAGCGAGGCGGAAGGGGCATCCCGGGCCATCTAGACTGACCCCCGGCTCCAGCCGGATCCACTCATGACATGCCTGTCTCGATACATCCCCACCAGACTCCTTAGCTCCTCAATGGAGGCCCTTCTTGTGACCACCCCCCCATGAAGTAAGGGGGGAATTGGTAAGAAAAAGGCCTTTCTCATAGTCGCCCCCGTCTCTGGAACTCCCTTCCTGAAGAAGTCTGACTGGCACCCTCATTATTCTGCTTCTGCCACCAAGTAAAGACTTTTTAATTTAGTATGTGCTTTCCCCTGCTGGTTTTATTGCTGGCTTTATTGCTGTTCATATTAGCCTCCTGTTTCACACCTTACATTAGTTGGTTTTTATGTGGTCTTGGAGGATGTTGCGTTATTTTCTGACAGCTACGTTAAGTTGTTGTTTCTGCATTTGTGACCCAGAGAGCTCCGGGCTATGGGGTGACATGAAAACGCACTAAATAAATAGTAAACTTTGAGGCTGGGCCAAAAGTCATGCTTCCGGTCTCCAAATCACCAGGGCGCCCTCACCCCGGCTCCTTTTCTGTCTCAACTCGCGCAAGTGTGCACTTCCTTTCTGAGAAGTCGAAACTTCCTCGTCTCATAAGGAGACGGAACTTCACAAGGTGCTGCTGCTGCTGCAGCTGTGAGCTCAGATGCATTTCAGAGTACTTGGTGAGCAGGAAAGATCTGGAAGGCAAGGTCCCAGTCCTCCCACTGCACGAACACCAACTGGCGAAAGAGCAGGGGAAGCCAGCTCCTGGTTCTCCTCATCCCGACCCCAAGCCTGCGCTTACCTTCTCCTCTCCACCAGCACGAGGACCTCGTTATCCCCCTGGATGGCTGCAAAGCAAAAACCGCAGGCGTCACCGCGTGGCCCTGCGGGGCCTGGCAGGGGGCTCTCGCCCAGAAGCAAGCCCCCGAGTCCAGCGGGACCTGCTCTCCGGGCAGTGGCTGTGGGGGCCGACGGCAGCAGGCGGAGAGAGGCTGGGGTGCCCGCGGACTCACTGACACTGCCCGACGCAGAGGGCTCCGCGGGCCGCCGATCGGGGAAGCAGCTTCTCCGGGCGGCGGGAGAAGGGCAGCCTCAGAGGGGGCCGGCCAGCTAGTCTGGAGCATCCTCTTCTGCCGCTCCAGCCAGCAAGGAGGGCCGCCACTCTGCCAGGGTGCGGGCTGTCTGCTTACGTGCGCACAGGTTTGCACCTTCTGCTGAACAATCCGCGGGGGGCAACTCTAAATCGGTGCCGGAGCTCTCGGGACACGCCCCCCTGTTCAGGTGCAGCCCCTTAGACCACGGTAAGGCGCATCGGGGCTGCGAACATGAGGCACTCCTTCAGGGGAGACGGGGGGGGGGATGTTGAGCATACACGCCCCCCTGGATGCCAGGAACTCTCGCAGGAAGTGGAGGATGGGACGTGGGTGCGCTGACAAGGTGTGAGATGCGCTTGCTGGAGGTGCAGAGCACACGGCCGGCTTGCTGCCTCCCTGGACGCAACCCCGGCCGAAGGACCCCCTGCCCGGGCCTTGTTACTCGGGGGAAACGCCGTGCAGGGTGCTTCCAGGACGAGAGCAGCCCAGCCTGCCGCAGGGCCAGCCGGGAGAGAGCCAGGACCGGAGCGCGCCCCCCGCCCGGCCCCCGCGCCACTCACAGAGCTCCTGCAGCTTCTGGAGGTGCACGGCCTCCTCCTTCTCGCTGCCCTCCAGGCAGGCGTAGAGCGTGGACTGCGCCAGGGCGAACCAGCCCTCCTTGGCCTGCCCCAGGCTCAGCCCGCCCTTGCACTGCAGCCGCCCCAGCCGCTCGAAGTCGTGGCTCAGCAGCCCCTCGGCGGCCGGCGGGACCAAGGACTGCAAGAGAGACCACGCAGGCTCTGAGGCGGGGGCACTCCTCCACCCGGCCCACCCGCAAGGAGGGAAAGCCCCGGGCCGAGACTCGGCCCCTTCGTCCGCTCCGCAGCAGGAACGGTCCCTCCGCCCTCGCTCGGACGCCTCGCCCAGGAGCCGGCCACCTGCGGCCCCCACCTCACGCCTCCCGCTGCCCCCGCCCATGGTGGGCTGCCCCACCCCCGCACTGCCCCTCTGCACAGGGCAGCCCACCCAGCCCCTGCCCTCATCCCCTTCACCCTCCCGCCTCCAGCGCTCGACCGGGCACTGCCCGCCGGCCACCCGGCCGGGCGCCACACAAGACCAGTCCAGGTGCCACGGGGGGATCTGGGGATCGGGTCAGCAGCCCAGCAGCCGGGGAGGAGGGGCCGAGTGCGGAGAGTCCCCCGGGGTGGCCCCCACCCCTCCAAGGCCCTCACCTTCGCCAGGCATGTGACCCACTCCTTGGTCGCCTCGGGGCTGTCCAGCCCGAAGAGGTAGAGCCGCTCCGCTTCGATGTACACCTCAAACGTGCTGGCAAACCTGCGGGGAGGGGAGGGGAGGGGAGGGGAGGGGAGGCATGTCTCTGAGCCCGTGGCTCCCCTGGACTCGGCCACCGCAGCCCTTTATGCACCGGACACCACGCTGGCTCAGCTGGGGCAGGACGCAGCAGCCCGGCCTTTGGCGCCCGGGAGCCATCGGGGCACCTGGCCCGTTCCGCTCCGGCTGTCGATCTGCTCCTGGCTGGGCTTCTGCTCTAGTGGGCCACCCTTGCCTTCCCTGCTGTGCAGGGCCTGGGACTCCAGCGCCCCGATCCCCACCCGGGAGCCCCCAAGACACCCCGAGGGGGGCCGTGTGGACTTTTTCCGGAACACCGACGCTCGCCCAGCCCGACTCGCTTCTCTCTGCGAAGTCCTTCCTCAGGCGCACTCCGCCGCCTGGGAGCTTTGTGCTTAACGGCCCAACTCCGTGGCCTGCGGGGGCCTTGGGACCCTCGTGGGCTGTTCGGAGGGAAGACGGAGGGTCTCTGGGTGAGCCCCTGCAGCCTGGCATTATTTTAACCTGGCACATTTGGACTGGCCTTGGCCCCCGGACCTGCTGGGAGGCCGACCCCAAGAGCGTTTCCAAGGCAGAAGTCAGCCCTCGGACTGAAAGGCGCCCGGGGCAAGCCGACGCTGGGAAGGCCAGCTCACGCGAGCTCAGGGGGCTTCCTGCCCGCTTCCCCTCCCATCCCACAAACGGAAGGAGGGCAAGGCAGGCAGGCAGGACCGGTCTGGCAGGTGAGCCGTGGCTCATGCGTTAAAAACAACACCAGGGGCATCGGCGCAAACTGCAGCCTTCCGGCTTGACTCGCGCAAGACGTGCTCGCGGTGCGCAGCCCTCAGTGCCCAAGCTGCGCCAGGGCGGTCCGTGCGGATGCGAAAAGGAGCAAAGCACGGCCTGCCTGAGAAAGGGATGCCCGCCGGGGCAGGTGGAGGACCCAAACCCGGGGAGGCCGGATCAGGGCAGCCCATCAGATTCTCACCCCCCCCCCCCCCCCCCCCCGGCATGGGCAGTCATCACTGGCTGCAGGCAGCCTTGCCCAGCTGGAGGGACCGAGGCCCCAGATGGCGGAACTGGAGGCCGCTGTGCGCGCCGTGGGCACAGCGTGTTTCGTTCCCGGTGACGTTCATCCTGCTTTTCTATTCCACAATTAGCAATACAGCCGCTCTCTCTCTCCCTCTGTGTGTGTGCGTGTGTGTGCGTGCGTGCGTGCGTGTGTGTGTGCGTGTGTGTGGAGGGGGTGCATTCTCATGGAAAAGGAGGGGCCCACTCACCCGTGGGAGCCCGGCGGGTTGTTCGCGAGGCACACGATCTCCGCCATCTTCATCTCCCCGTTGGGCACCGTGCTGGCGTTGCTCTCGTAGTAGCTGAAGACCCCATCGTGCAGGGTGCACCAGCGGCGGCTGAACTCTGCGGGAAGCGGGCCGTGAGGGCACAGCGGGGCCTGCGGGACCGGGCCCAAGTCCACCCAGCCCAGCCCCCCGTTCAGGGGGCGGCAAGCCCGCTGCCCCCAGGACCCCCAGCAGAGGGGGCAAGACCGCCACCTGCCCGGCTCCTCAGCAAGCGGCACACGCAGGAGGCAGCGCCCTGCCAGCAAGCGACTGACCCCACTGCGCATGGGGCATGTGGCGGGAGATCGAAGGCCCAGCGCTGCAGGAGGAAGTGCAGTCCTCCCTCTGTGGGATGCACCTCTGTGCCCCATAAGGAGAGGTCTCTTTCCATCTGCGGTGAGCAGAACTGGGGCCTCAGCTTCACAGCCCTTCTGAGGAGGTCAGTGAGAAACATCTCACCTTTCGATCCTCTCAGGGAGGTTCCATGAATGCGGAGAGCAGGAGGCCTTGACCCGGCTCTGTGGTGAGCCAGCCGGCCAAAATGGCTTTTGGATCTACCTGAGTCTCTCTAGGCTGGATGTTTATGTATCTATGCAGATGGTTTCCTTGCGTATTCTGAAGGTTTTGACCTTTGCAAGCCATCTAAAATGCTTATACTACAGGGCAACTAGAAATTGGCTAGAGGAACGGGACTTCGCATAGATTTAAATGTTTTTAAGTTATCATAAATAGAAAAAAATGTGGGGACCAATGTTTCTGATGATTGATGTTGTTTTTAGTTTTCTTTTGTTTTAGGGTTATTTTGAATAAAACTTATTATATAAAAAAATAGAAATCTAATGACCGGACCAGACTGGATGGTAGAGGAGGGACCACTCTTTTTGCAAAATCCATCCCAGGAGAAGGTCCAGTTTCTTCCTGAATCAGCTCGGGGACATCAGGTTGGAATGGGTGGGTGGCGGAACAGCTGCAGTGTGACCCCCCCGCTGGCTGGGAACACTCTCCCAGCCACTCGGGGAAGGAAACGACTCCTTCTAAAATAGTAACAAAAAGCAGCCGCCTGGGTAGGGAGTGGTGAACGGGCAGCGTTTAATCTCGCCAAAATTCTCCGTGAACATCAAAATTCTCTGAACAAAGTGAACAGCAATTGAACATGAAAGTTACACAAACAATCCCCAAATTGGGGTAAATATCCAAAATTGCACAAATTTCCCTACAGACATAAAGTATGGGCGATTTCATTTTGTGCATTTTGAAATATGAGCACATTTTTAAATATGTATTTTGAACACATAAAGGCAAGTTCGGGAATCTCTGGGGAACGTCTTTGGAGAACATGTGCTCCAGTTGGGATCTGAGATGGCAAACAAAGCATTTCTGAGTGATTTGCAAACTCAAACAAAATTCTTATGCATCCCTAGCCAGGAGAAACAGGAAAAACTGGGAAACATCAGGGAACCTGAGGAATGAAAGTACAATCAAGCAAACTTTAAGCCAGTTTTCCACACGTCTGGGCTCCCTCAGGAGGGAGGGTGCTGGGACCTCTACAGGTAAGCACACACTCGACCCCAGAAAGGCCCCTGCAGGCCCCTCACGCCCACGGGCTCCTCGCCTCACCTTCCCGGGACTTGCGCTCGTGCACCGGCTTGGCCATGGAGGGGGTTTTGTACAGGAAGCCATTGTGGGCGACGGAAGGCAGGATGACAGAGTAGTGCTTCTCGACGCTGGTGCCGGCGTCCAGCTGAGGGGTCTCTGCGAACGCAAGCGACGGAGAGCGGGGTTGTGGGCTGAACTGGCGTCCAAGGGCCCAGGCAGCGAGCTGGCTGTGCGCAGACCCCTGGAAGTCTCCCGGTAAGGAAGCAAAGGCAGAGGAGACCAAACCACAGAAGGAAAGGAAAGGAAAGGAAAGGAAAGGAAAGGAAAGGAAAGGAAAGGGAAGGCCACCCGGGGGGGACCATTTCTTGGAGTCTAGAATGGCATCCCCACAACAAATATTGTTCACATCATCCCTTCACCACCCAACAGCCAGAGCTCCCTGGGCACTTTAAATCGTGCATAGAACAAGCAATGCATGCAAATATCACAAACCTTTTCCAAAACGCCCGCACTTTAAAGCAACTGGGAGGTGGAGCGGAGCAGACGGGTGGCAAGGTCAGGCAAGGCGAGGCGGAGCAGCGCTCAGCCAGCCAGGCGCAACCAGGCCGGAAGGGCGAGGGCCCCAGGCCCGGGGAGACACACAGGCCCCTCTGCGGGGGGTGCCACTTCGGGGGGCTGAGCCCTCCTGCGCAGCGGTGGCACGCCAGGGGCCTCTCGCCCCCCTCCTGGCTGCTTTCCGGTCGGAGGGCTGCCGCTCTGTCCCGCGTCTCCACTCAGACAGACCAAGCCCCGCTGCGGCCCGTGCAGGAGCTGAAGGGGAGGCCATGCCGGGCGGGTGCCCGTGCTGCTTGCTGGCCGGACCCGTTCCCTGCGCAGGCCCCGCTTCACGGCCTGCGCTTGCAGGGTCCCGCTCTCTCTGCCGTGGCGACGGCTGTGGCCGGACGAGCGTGATGCGGCCAGGCTCAAGCCCTCCCCGAGACCCCGCAGGCGCAGCCCCGAGGGGCCCTGCAAAGCACCGCCCGGCTTGCCTCAGCCTCTGGCCGTTCTCCAGCGCCTGCGGGTGAGCCAAAGGCCAGCCCGCGCGGAAGGAGCCCTGCCAGAGGGCGAGGCTCCTGGCTCGCCCGGCCGATCGGTTCCAGGCGCCCGGTTGCACAACGCGCGATTCCAGCCAGCATCCGCGCCGACATGCAGGGGAGAGGAAAGCCGGCGCGCTCTTTCCTGCGCAGCGCCAGCGATTCGGTGGGGACGGCTCCCCTGCGCCACCTCCTGGGTGCCGGGCGCTGCCTCTGGGGTGCCCGAGGTGCGGCCCTGTGCGCCTGGAGGCGGAGGAGGCCGGCGGCTCCCAGCACTGCGCCCCGGCGGCGCTCAAGCTTGGCGGCAGAGGCCTCTGTGCGCCCAGCCCTCCTCAGCTTGGTGCCCTCCAGAGCTTTTGCACTGCACCTCCCAGCTGCCTGGCGCACTGGTTACGCGGACTGTGGCTGACAGGAGGGGAAGTCCAAAAAATCTGGAGAGGGCCAGGTGTGGAACGGCAGGTGCACTTCATTTTCACCACACACAAGAAGCGAAAAGGCCAAACGCTCAGCAAGCGATCAAAATCAGCGCCGATGCAGAACGCTCAGCCAAGAAGTAAATGCGACGACGACAGAATAATTATTCGCTGGAAGCACCAGCAAAGAAAAGAGAAAGCAGTTGAGCATAACCCCAGGATACACCCAGACGTCCGAGCCTGGTGCTGCGAGGGCAACGGCCCAGGGGGACCCAAAGGGCCACCCCCAGGCGCCACGGCCCCCCACTGGGTCATTTCCTCAGTCCCCACCCGTCTGGCCCCATCTGGGCCACGCTGGCCAGGGATGGAGGAGCTTGGATCCAACACATCCGGACACCTCCTGCAGGGGGAGACTGCGTGAGAGAAGCCCTGGCCGGCTCTACCAGCCCCGAAGCCGAGGCACTCCCCGTCCCTCAAGTTGAGCAAGCCAGCGTCAATCAGCGAATGAGCCCAGGAGGCGCCCACTAACTGGGATGTCCCTGATTTGGGGGTCTTATCACGCTGGAGCAGCCAAACCAAGCAGCAGCACTGGGAGAGACGATGGGAACCTGATGTGTGCAAGGAGGCCATCAAAGCCTTCCCGGTGGCATTTACGGCTCTTTTCCAGCCTGCCCACCTTTGTTTTCCAGCCGGCTCGGATCAACTGCTGCCCCGTCTCTGGAAGGGAGAGGCCTCTGGGGCCCTCCCTGCCCGGAATCTGCGCCTCCCTCCCGCTCTCCAAAAAAGAAAAAGCGTGGGGAGAATCTGGCTCCGGCAGAGGAGAGCAAGACGGTCTCTTGTTGGGCTCTGAGCGCCGGCTGGGAAGGGCCGGCGAGGGCGCGGCTGCCTCTACACAAGCCGCTCGCCAGGACCGGTCCTGCTGGGACGCGATCTCCATGCTGGGGCGTTCCCGCCGCAGGAGCAACCAGGCCCGGCTCCTCAGCTCCCCGAAAGGCCTCGGGGCTTCCTAGAGCGGTTCAGCGTTCCCCACTCTGCCAGCACAGCTGGAGTAACCATTATGCCGTGGTCCAAAAGCCTCTTCCGGCCTCGGCTGGTGCGGGACCTTTCTGGAGACACCAGCAGCGCCTCGGCACCCCCTCGCCATGGTCCCGATCCCTGTGGCTGCCAGTTGAAGTGCAGCAAGGGGAAACTGGTCGCTTTTCATTACTAGGCAGAGCGAGCGAAGGAGGCCGGGAGGCGCGGCGGGTTTGTCTCCACCGTGGAAGCAGCTGCAGCAGCTCTCCGATCCAATCTGGTCCTTCCGTGCTGGAAGAAACATGCTGGGACAGAGCCACAGAGAGGTGCCCCCGGGCCAGTTCCTGCACGCAGCTCTGACCTGCTGCGCAAAGCAGCCCGGCAGCTTGGGGGAGCCTCGTTTCTGTTTGTTCATTGAGTTTACTGTAATTTTAAATCACCCAGCAAGCCAAATTCCTTGGGTGATGTGCCGCACGTGAAACACAAAAAGTCCAAACGCTAAGACTCAGGAAGCGTGCCGTGCGCTGCCAGAGCTTCCACAGGCGCACCCCGGCCGTGGCTCCTCCGGCGCCACTTCCCGCTTTCCAGCCTGGCTCGCTCCAGGAAGCCAGCCACGGGCCCCAGGAGAGCCCCGGCCAGTCGCACCGCCCGCGTGCGCTGCAACACCCGGGCAACGCGCTCCCGCAGTTCTCCGTTGGCCTGCGCTCGCGACAAAAGGGGCTGGAGGCCGCCGTGGGGCCTGCCGGACCCAAAGCAAGAGACCCACTTTCGGAAACCCTGGCTGACGCACGGAGCGCATGCATCTAAATTTTTAGAGGCTTTTTGCGAATGGGGCGGCATAGAAATGTTCCAAATAAGTAAATAAAATTGACAGCGGTGGCAGGAGGGGGGGCAGAACCTGGCAGCACACGGATGCGGGAAGGACGTTAGGGATGCGAGACTCTCCTCGCTGGCCGCCCTGAGCGGTCTGTGGCAAGGCGGCTGGGGAGAGGGAGAGCGGGTGCAGGCTCACGCCGGCCGGCCTGGTCGCGTCGCAGGCCAGAGGCCCCGCTTTACGCCGCGCCCCTGCCGCAAACTGTCCCAGACACCGCTCCCAGCCCGGTGCCCTCCAGATCCTTCAGAACACAGCTTCCATCAGCCCCAGGTGACAAGTTAGGGATTGTGGGGGTTGTAGTTCACCAGGTGGGAGAAGCATCCAACATTCTGGGGCAGCGCCAATTAAATGCCCAGCCCGGGTCCCATTCATCTCCACAGATCAACTTCACCCGCGGTCCAGCAGCTCTCTGGCAGGCCACTCGCTCTCCTCTCCACCCACGCTCCCCATAGGGGGGAATAATATTGCTGGCCTACCCTACAGGGCTGTTGCTCGACTACATGGCCACAGTATGTCCACATTCGGTATAAATGTAATGGATCACGACTGTTACTAAACCAGTCTGGAAAGGGACTCTTGCGCAAGGGAAAGCTGAATGACCCCCAACCTGGGTGCTTCTGCAGGGAGGGCTCCCAGCACCACCAAGAGACGGCACTCAGCGCCAATTCATTCTGCCCCTTCTTAGCATATGATCCGCAGTAGGCAAGAACACGAATGGGGGGGCATTATGAGGAAGAAACTGCTCCACCGCCCCCCCCAAGCAATCCTGGGCCCGAGGCAGGGCCTCAGGGCCTTCGCGGCTGCACCCAGCAGCACCTCCAGGCCCGAGCTGCCGCCAGCACACCGGCCCGCCGGCAGGGGCAGACGAGGCTCAGGAAGCGGCACACCTGCCCCACGCGGCCCACGGAAGGGACCCCCGGGCAGCTCCAGCCTCACGTAGGCCGGAAGAAAGGGTGTGGCGAAACCGGCTTTTCCTGCACGCGCTTCTGGCTCAGGTCGCGAGTGCCAAGCGCCGGCCCAGCGAGGCAGCCCCAAACGCACCCAAGACGACGCGCCCCGCAGGAGGGGCCGGTGGGGGGGGCAGCGGGAGACCACCCTCCTCTCCATTTTATTCTCACAACACCCCTGCGAGGTATGTTGGGCTGAGCCGCAGCGGCCAGACCACAGGCACCCGCGGCCAGGTGTCCCGGTTTCAGTCCAGCCCCCTCGCACCACCCCGCCGGAGCAGTCCCTCCGGGGAGCAGGCCCCCCACGCCTGGCTCAAAGCGGCACCGGCAGCCCTGTGGCACGCTCTGGAGGCCGCCCGGCTCCGTCCCGCAGCGACTGCGGCCGCCCCTCGCCGGGCTTGGCCCCAGGCCCCGGCGGCCCCGATCCGCTCGCAGCCCGGCGGAGCCGCACCATGCACCGGCTCGCCTGATTCTGGCCGCGGGCCCGGCCCCGCTCCCCGGCCGCCCCCGCGCCTCTTACCGGACGTCTTGTTGCGCAGCAGGAACTCCATCTGCAGCCGCTGGCCGGCCTGTTCCGCCAGGGCCACGGGGGACGGGTGGTCAGGGTCGCCCGAGAAGCAGCTCGCCTCAGCCCCGCAGAACAGCAGGGCGAGCGTCTCGGCCAGGTCGCTGGTGGTCACGGCCGCGCACAGAGCCTGGGGGCAACAGGAGGGTCAGGGGTGCCGGAGGCCTGGGCGGGGGAAGCCGGGGGCAGGCGAGGGGCGCTCCCCGTCACGGGGCCGCCATCCCTCCGCTCGGCGGAAGACGCGCGGGCGGCCAGGGGCACCCGGGAGGGCGGTCCGCCGGCTTCCAGGGCAGCAGGCGCTTCGGCCAGCGAGAGACGCCTGCGGAGCGAGGCCGCCGGGTGGAGTCGTGCAGCCGGGGAGGATGTGGCGGCCTCTTTAAGCAGCGAAAGAAAGGGGCAAGCCAGCCCACGGGTGGAATTCCAGCGTCTCCAGGCAGGCCGGCCAGTCACTGGCCCGACCGGAGGGCTGAGGGTGGGACCAGCAAGCGAGCAGCCCCAGCCCCGGAGGGGAGGCGAGGGGAGGCGAGGCGAGGGGAGGTGCTCGCTTGGCACTGCTGGGGCCCAGCCGCTCTCGGCAAAAGAAAACACAGGCACAGGGGAAGGCCGGCCGGCCGGGGAGCCTTCCTCCCCCCGCTCTGCCTGGAGCAAAGCAAGCGCCTGCTGCCCCTGCCTCTCGAAGCTGCTCTCTGGGCAAAGTCGAGGACATGGGGGGGCTGTGCGGGGGGGAGAAGGGCCTCGCCCCAGGCCATCTACCCCAGGCCACCGAGGGTCTCGGCTCCTGACTCCCAGCAGAGCAGAGCGAGCTGCCCGGCCGGTCTCAGACAAGCAGCCGAGCCCCCCGGAGCGAGGGAACAGGGGGAGCAAACCGGAGTGTGGTGGAGGGGTTCAGCGGGGGAGTCCCCAGCATTCCCCCCTTCTTCTCTCTTCTTTATTTCACCTTTATTCCTCCCCTGCCCCCCGCACACACACACACGGCTTTCCTCCTTGTAACACCCCCCCACGAACACCGACCCGGCAGGGCCGGGTTGCAAACCTTCAGTGAAGACATTCGGGAGCGCCCGTCGCCACCGCAGCCCCCCAAGGCAGACCCACCACGGCTGCCCGGGCAGCGCACCAAGCAGCCCCCACGGGGTGGCGGCCTGCAACAACCATGCGCAGGTTGCCTTCCACCTGAGAGCAACACGTCGTGCGCTTGCAAAAGCTGCAAGGTCGCAGCCCTCTCGGAAGAAAAGCTGGGAGCGCGGGGGCAGCGGGTGTCCCCCCGCCTGACAGTAAAAGAAAAGGAAGAGTTCTGGATAGAGTAGGGGAGCTGCAACAGGTAAGTGCAGGTCAGAAGCAAGACAAGCACCAGCAAGCGGATGCAGCCCAGCTCAGGGAGCCCAGGTCCCACTGGGATGCCGGGAAGCACTTCCTGGCAGTCGGGACCCCGAGGGGGTGGAGTGGGCTTCCACGGGGGGTCGTTGAGGCCCCATCGGTGCGGGCGTTCAAGGATAGGCTGGACATGCACATGGTGGGCATGTCGTGGGCGGAGCCGGCTGGAGCCGGAGGTCAGACTAGATGGCCCGGGAGACCCCTTCTGACTCACTCTGTTTCTATGTTTCTAAAACCCCAGAGCTTTCAGGGACGCCTGAAGCGTGGCTTCCAGATTGAGAGAGGTATTGCCGTCACTCTACACGACTCTGGTGTGCCCGCAACTGGAGTATTGTGCTCAGTTTTGGGCCCCTCATTACAGGAAGGATATAGCCAGGTTGGAGTCAGTGCAGCGAAGGGCCACAAGGTTGGTGGCCGGTTTGCAGGGGATGCCGTATGAGGCGAGACTGAGGGAACTGGGCCTCTTCAGCCTGGAGAGGAGGAGACTCAGAGGGGATCTGTTGGCGACATGCAGGTACGTGAGGGGGTGTCACATGGAGGTGGGGAGAGACCTGTTCTCCCCTGCAGAGGAAGGCAGGAAGTGCTCCAACGGAGCAAAGCTCAGGGAGCCAAGGTTCAATTTGGATGCCAGGAAGCACTTCCTGACAGTCGGGACCCCGAGGGGGTGGAATGGGCTCCCCCGGGAGGTCATTGAGGCCCCATCGGTGTGGGTGTTCAAGGACAGGTGGGACGTCCAGATGGTGGGCATGTTGTGAGTGGAGCCGGCTGGAGCCGGGGGTCAGACTAGATGGCCCGGGAGACCCCTTCTGTCTCGCTCTGTTTCTATGTTTCTAAGCTGAGCTGAAGCAGAAGACGAGGACCGTGAGGAAAGGGGAAATGAGGAAACTCGCTGGAACAGGGTGACAGCGAGACGCAGGAGACCCAGGAAGCACTCTGCGCCTGTGGAAGCAGTGGGACACTTGAACCGCTTCGAGTTGCTTGAGGGAGGGACTGTGAAAGAGCTACACAACACACTGTGTAGCTCTGAGAAACAGGCAAACGGTCCACCGAGAAAGGAGAGGCACCAAAGTTTGCAACAAGGAAAGGAGACAAGCGATAGTTGTGGGAGATGCCCTGTTGCGTGAGGTGGAGACGTGTGCGTGCCGCGACGACCCAGAGAACCGCCAAGCATGTGGTCTCCCTGGCGCCACGATTAAAGATATCGCCAACGAGTTCACACAACTCATGCAACCCACTGACACTGCCAAATACCCCTCCCTCCTCTTCCACGTGGGAGCCGACGACACCGCCAGGAGACGCTTCGCTGAAACAGCATCAGCCCTCGAAGCTCTGAGGGGAAAATCAAAAGCACCGGGGCCCAGAGCGTCTCCTCCTCAGCCCTCCCGGTATGTGGAGGAGGAACCGCCGGCGAAAGGAAAATCCTGCGGGTGAATGCCTGGCCACGATGGGGGTGCCGTGGAGGGAGACGTGCGCTCCGGGACCCCAGCTGGGCTTCCTGGAGGAGGGGCTCCTGGCAGAGGAGGGGCTGCGCCCCACACAGAACGGGGGGCCGATGCTTGGCCACCACGTGGGAAAGCCCCTCAGCCGAGCTGGACGTAAAGGCTGTCGGGGTGGGGGGGAGCCGTGCAGCAGCGCATGCCACCCCCTGGCACGGACTCACACGCTCCGGCAGAGGAAAAACCCCAAGCGGGGCCCAGCACCAGCCCCCCAGAAGAGCAGGAAGAACACCAGGGCACCGCGAGGAGGAACGCCAGCGCCTCGACACCCTTGCCCAGAGGATGGGAATCAAGCAGCACGAGCCGGAGCTCATCCTGCACGGGGGCAAATACAGCCTTACGGGAAGAAGGGAAACTTGGTGGGATGACTCACATGACTGGAATTCTACTGCTGAGGGACACGACCTGTTCAAGAAAAACGGAAAGGACAAAAAGGGAAGTGGCACGTTTGCTTATTTGTTTAGAGCTTTTAGATACCATCCGACTACTACAGTCTCGGGACAGTCGACAATCAAAACAGAATAAAATGAAGCACAGCACAAATGAAGAGGAGGAACTCGGCAGCCCCGCTGAAAGCGTCTGGCTTCAGTTAAAGGGAGCAAAAAATAAGAAAAACTTAGCTATTGGTGCTTATTACCGACCACCCAGTCAAAAAGAGGAGAAGGCTGCACCCTTTGAAAAGGAACTCGCTGCTGTTTCCAAGGAGAATGACGTGGTCATTCTGGGGGGCTTCCATGTCGCTGATGCATGCTGGGAGACAAATTCTGCCAAGCGTGGCCCCTCCAAGAGATTCCTGACGCGCATTGCTGACAGCTTCCTCCAGGAGAGGGCAGAGGAAGGTACAAGAGGATCAGCCATCTTTGGTTTAATACTAACTGTCAGGGATGGCCTGGTGGAGAAAAGAGTGGCCACGGGAATCCTGGGCGAGAGCGACCGTGCAATACGCAAATTCTTGATTGCAAAGGAGGCAAAGGTTGACTGCAGCCAAGCACATGCCCCGGCCTTCACGGAAGCCAGCGCTGATGAGCTCAGAACAACGATAGCGGCAACTCACCCTCGGGGTAAAAGGAGCCAAGGGGGGTGGGAAATCTTGAACAACAAGATTCTCCAAACATGGCTATGAGCAATTCCAACAAGAAGAAATGTAGAAGACAAGAGAGGAAGCCCCCATGGTTCCACAAAAGTTACGTGACAGCCGGAAGGAAGGAAGGAAGGAAGGAAGGAAGGAAGGAAGGAAGGGTGGACAGACGAGCGAGCGAGAGAGCGAACATGTGCAGGAAGTGGAAGCAGGGCCAGGCCACGAAGGAAGAACATCAACAAATAACAGAATTGCAGGGACGGCATCGCGAAGGTAGGAAATGAGCTGAGACTAGCGAGGGACGGTGACAACAAGACAGACTTCTTCAAAGATGTCCAGAACAAGCACATCTGACAGAGAAAGGCGTCCGGCTACTGAAAGTGGGTGGCAAAATGATCGCAGGTGCCAAGGAGAAGGCGGAGGCGCTCGATTCCTGCCTCGCCCCAGGCTTCTCCCACAAAACATCTACCATGAGGAGGAAGCACAAGCTGAACGGGAGGGACGGCAGCCCCAGAGCGACACCTGGCCAGGGAATACCTAGGTGGAATGAGCACGGCCAAACCGCCAGGGCCCGATGGGCGCCATCCCAGCAGCACAGAAGAGCGAGCAGAGGAGCTCTCGGAGCCACTGGCTCTTGCCTTCGATCGATCCTGGAACACTGGAGAGGTGCTGGACGACCGGGGAAGGGCTAACATTGTCCCTGTCTTCAAAAAGGGGGAAAAGATGAACCTGGGAACTACACACCAATTGATCTGTCATCAATCCCTGGAAAAATTCTGGAGCAAATTATTAAATCAGTCCACAAGCACCTTGAAGAAAATGCAGTGCTTAATCGAAGTCAGCATGGATTTATAAAAAATCAATCCTCTCATACTAATTTAATCTCATTTTTTTGACTGGGTAACTTCCCAAATGGACAGAGGGTGCAGACATAATCTACCTAGACTTTAGCAAAGCTTTTGACATACTGTCACATGACATTCTGATGAGCAAATTAGCAAAAACTGGACTAGATGGAAAAACTATTAGGTGGATTCAAAATTGGCTGCTAAATCGGACACAAAGAGTGCTCATCAACGGCACCTCAGATCGGAGGGAGGCAACGAGTGAAGCGCCGCAGGGTTCAGTCCTGGGCCCAGTGCTCTTCAATGCCTTTAATAATGATTGACATGAGGAAGTGCAAGGAAAGATGATCAAATGTGCAGACGATACAAAACGGGGCGGAATGGCAAACAGCCTGGAAGACGGAATGAAGATGCAGGGCGATCCTGATCAGCTTGGACACTGGGCTGAAAGCGACAGGCGGAGATTCAAGAGGGACGAGGGACAAGGCCTCCGCTAGGAAAAGGAACCAAAGGCATCACTACAGGTGGGGAACAGGTGGCTCAGCGGAACTGGGGGAGAAGAAGATCTCGGAGTGACCGAGAGGCTAAGCATGGGCCAACCGTGTGATGCAGCCGCCAAAGGGGCACATGCTGTCTTGGGGGGCATCAGCAGAAGTGCTACTCCCAAATCACAAGCAGTAGTAGTTCCTCTGTACTCCTCACTAGTCAGACCTCACCTGGAACACTGTGTCCAGTTCTGAGCACCAACATTTAAGAAAGATGCAGAATTAGAAAAGGTCCAGCAGAGGGCAACAAAAACGATCCAGGGTTTGGAAACTCTGCCCTGTGAGGAGAGACTGGGGGAACTGGGCATGTTCAGCCTTGAGAAGAGGAGGCTGAGGGGGGGGACATGAGATCCCTCCTTAAGTACCTCAAAGGCTGTCACAAAGAGGAAGGCCAAGGTCTCATCTTGCTGATGCCAGAGTGTAGGACACGGAATAATCAAATTATGATAACCCAGATTCAGGCTAGATATTAGGAAAAGCTTCCTCTGTCTTGGAGCTGCCTGGAGAGGTGGGGGGCTCTCCCACAATGGAGACATTCAGAAAGAAACTGGGCAGCCCCCTGAGTGGGATGGTGTGACTTGGTGTCCTGCAACAGCAGGAGGTTGGACTAGATGGCCTTCATGGCCCCTTCCAGCTCTGCTGTTCTATGACTGATGATTCTCTGACAGGGGCTGGACTGCAACCTGGCCTGGCTGGCATCGTAACTGGCCAGTCTGGGCCCTGGACCGGTTTCTCTTCTCACCACTGCAGAACCCTTCCCTGCCTCCCGCTTCTCCCTGGTCCAGCCAAGGGCAACTCCGGGATGCAGATGGAGTCACGGGTGCCCCTTCCAGATGGCCACCGGCTCCCTTCTGGGCAGGGAAGCAGTGGAGCCGGCGAGGAGGGAGAGGAGTCGGTGCCAATGCCGAGGAGGTGGGCCCTCCGGGGGAGGGGGTCCTGGGGGCGTCTTGCCCAGTGGCCTCCCGAGACCTGAGGCTGGCACTGACCGTGGCTCCCAGGGGGTGTCCAGAGGGGCTGGAGCAGCTCTCCTGTGAGGATCAGCTGCGACAAGCAGGAGGAGACAGGATAGACAGAAGTGCTCAAGATGATACACGGGGGAGTGGAGAGTCCCCCTCCCATCGCACTTGAACCCGGGGTCATTCCATGAAGCTGGCTGGCAGAGGTCTAGGCCAGATCCAAGGAGGTGCCTGCGCACACCAGCTGCCAAGGAGCAGGGCGGGCCGAGGGTCGGAGGGACCCTGCCCCCCGTCGGGACACATCCCCAAACTAAGCAGGGATGGGTCATCGATCTGACGAGGCAGGGGGACTGGGCGCCCACCCCAGGACCCCCCTTCCTTGAAGTGCTAGTTTCCTAAGCGACAGGAGGAGATTCAAGAGGGACGAGGGACAAGGCCTCCGCTAGGAAAAGGAACCAAAGGCATCGCTACAGGTGGGGAACAGGTGGCTCAGCGGAACTGGGGGAGAAGAAGATCTCGGAGTGACCGAGAGGCTAAGCATGGGCCAACCGTGCGATGCAGCCGCCAAAAGGGCAAATGCTATCTTGGGATGCATTAACAGAAGTATGACTTCCAAATCACGAGAAGTAGCAGTTCCTCTACGCTCCTCCCTAGTCAGACCTCACCTGGAACACTGTGTGCAGTTCTGGGCACCAACATTTAAGAAAGATGCAGAAGAATTAGAAAAGGTCCAGCAGAGGGCAACAAAAACGATCCAGGGTTTGGAAACTCTGCCCTGTGAGGAGAGACTGGGGGAACTGGGCATGTTCAGCCTTGAGAAGAGGAGGCTGAGGGGGGGGGACATGAGATCCCTCCATAAGTACCTCAAAGGCTGTCACAAAGAGGAAGGCCAAGGTCTTTTCTTGGTGACACCAGAGTGCAAGGTGCAGAATAATTCAAGCTGCAACTCTCCAGATATCAGGAAAAGCTTCCTCACTGGCAGAGCAAGAGGGCAGTGGGACCGGCTGCCCAGAGAGGTGGGGGGCTCTCCCACACGAGAGACATTCAGAAAGAAACTGGACAGCCACCTGAGTGGGATGGTGTGACTTGGTGTCCTGCAGCAGCAGGAGGTTGGACTAGATGGCCTTCATGGCCCCTTCCAGCTCTGCTATTCCATGATTCCATGTGCCTGCCAAAACCTGGGCCTGCAGCTCCCCCCACGCGAGGCCGCTGCGGGATCCCAAGAGCCCCCCACAGCCCCAGGTTCAGGTCAGATTTCTGTGTGGCAGCAAAGCTGTACTTCTTGCAGACAGTCCAGTTCAACCTCCCCAGACACGTGAACAGCCACTGCTCCCGGCCACGTGGCCACCGGGGGCTGTGGGCCAGCGCACCCGGCGAGCGACACCCTGAGGAAGGCCAGCCCAGACGCAGAACCACCAGGGACTCCAACTCGCCTTGAAGGTCAGACCAAAAGCCCCCTCCCGCTGCTCCCATCTCACACCCCTCCTTCCCGCAGCTTCTTTGCAAGCCCCACGCCAGCTTCAAGCTTCTAGTCCTCCTTACATTCCTCTTCTCTGTTGCCTCCCTCTCGTTCTTACCTGCCTCACCCACCCACTTCTCCTGCTCCTGAAGCCCATCTTTCTCCTGCACATGTCATCCATGTTCTCTGCTCTTGCACCCAGCACTTTAGAGACACGGAAACAAAGCGAGCCAGGAGGGACCTCCCAGGCCATCTAGTCTGGCCCCCGGCTCCAGCCGGCTCCGCTCACGTAATCCCCAACATGGGGTTGTCCAGTCTTTCCTCAAGCACCCGCTGACGGGGCCTCCACCACCTCCCGGGGAAGCCCATTCCATCTCCTAGGAAGTGCTCCCTGATGGCCAACCTGAAGCAGGTTCCTTGGGCTTTGCCCCCCTGGAGCGCATTCTGCCCTCCCCGGCAGGGGAGAACAGGTCAGGGGCAAAGCCCACCCCTCTGCAGACCGACGGCTCCCCCGCGTGTTCCAGCAGAAGGGCCCTGGCGTGGGCGCCTGGCAGGCTCGCACAGGCGTGGCCGGTCCTTGGCTAAGGGGGCTCCGACGCCCCATGGCTCGAAAGGCCACCACACGTGGGGAACAAGGAAGCGCCCGCGCACGCCCGATGCTCAGCCTTCGCACAGCCCGCCTGCGAACGAGAGCTGCCTTGTCGGCACACGGTGCCGGTCCGTTCCCAGCACGGGCTCCACAAAGATCATCCCGCAGGATTGCAGCACAGCGCCGAGACTCGGGGTCCCCGCCAAGCGGAGGGGAAGAGGCACGAGCAAGTGGCGCCTGTCCCCAGGACGGCCCCCCCCGGCCCCGGGGCTGAGCCTCCTGAAGTGGGGTGTTTACAACAGCAAATAACTATGGGAAATTAAAATATCACTCTGGCAACACGTTCCCTGCAAAGCATCCATTATGTGAGGACAGCGTTTCATCTAAAAAATGTTCTGGCGCAGCACCAGGAGAGAGAGGGAAGCACTCTGCACATGTCCAGAGGCACTGGCTTGGCTTGCTCTCCTCCCTAAGCCAAAATCCCAAAGCACGGTTCTCATGTTACGACTCCGCCTTGGGGAGGGGGTGCCATGGTTCCCCGTCTGCGTCTGAGCCTCCGCTTGGAGGAGCAGAGGCGACTGGGCACATGTCATGAGCGGAGCTGGCTGGGGCCGGGGTCAGACTAGATGGCCCGGAGGACCCCTTTTGACCCGCTCTTTTCTACAGCCGCTGGGTGCAAAGAGGGCATTCCAAATCCCAGCACCACTGATGAGAAACCGTGCCGCTCTTGTGTCTTCTCTTTCTTAGCGGATCTTCTGCTAAAAGGGGAAAGGGGGACGGAGCGGCGGGAAAGCAAGGGCGGGCCCCAAGGGAAGGCTGCGCGGACCGGACACCCCCTCGCACTGCATTCTGGGGGCCTGGCGAGGCGATGGAGCCGCGGAGGCCTCATCCGGAAGCAACCCGAGACAAAACGCAGGCGGAATCCACCTAGGGAACACGGGCAGCGCTGCCCGGTGTGCCGAATCTGGGAAAGGACTCGTTTCGGAGGCCATTTGGGCCAAAGCCCAGAGCCACCGACAGAGCCGCTTCTGCCCCCACAGCCCTTTCCCTCGATCCGCAGGGCAGCACGGCGGCTCCGCCAAGCCCACTCTGGAGCCGCGCAGAGGCCTGGGGGGTAGGAACGAGAACCAGCCCCCGCCTCGGAGGGAGGGCCCCTCCACGCCCCGCGCCTCACCTTGTTGAGCTCCTCCTGGTTCCCAAACAGCGGGTGGTACCGGCGGTACTTCCCTTCCCGGTACTTGGCCACCAGGAAGCGCCTCCGCTCCTGGCTCTCGCTCCAGGCGCTGATGGCCTCGCTGGGCGGCACGTTGGCGGCCCAGAACTGGTTGGCCACGGCGTTCCCGATCCGGAGGAAGAGCTGAGGACACACGAAGCAGAGCTGTCCGCGAAGGCGCCCACACACGGAAATCCGCTTTCTGGCTTTAGGATGTGCTGCGGCCCCGTCCCCAACCTCTCCTGGCACCCCGTGCCGACTTCGGAGCGCAGGATTCCCGTCTGAGACGAGCAAGGCAGCCCTGGGGTGACCCGCTGCCCCGGCCCGGTTTCAGAGGCAGGCATCCTCCGGCCCTGGCTGCCGCGGGAGCTCTCGAAATACACAGATTCCCCGCAGCTCCGGAGGCGCTGGACTACAATCCCCATAATGCACGGCCAGAGCCTCTCCCAGCCCTCAGGCTGAGCTCGGCTCTGGAGATGGTGCTGCTCCGCTCCCGCGGAGTCGAGGCCCCGGCACGGCCGGCACTTGGAATCCAGCGATTCTTCACCACCCGGCCAGATGTTCCCGGAGAACGGGGGCAACGGCAGGACGGAGCAGGGCGAACTCAGCCCGCGGTGGGTGCCCTGGGCAGGCCCCGGAGCACGTGGGGCAGCGGGCAGCCTTCCAGCTTGCAGGCGCAGCCTATTTTCCTTAAGGCAGCTCTTCTCCCAGAAATAATGGCAGCGGGAGGACTGGCAGAGGAGCTCCCTGAAACCCATCGGTCCAAGTCAGGTGCAAAACTCTCAGCCCTGAAATTAAAGGCTTTGGAGCGGAGGAATTTTTGTTCCGAGTAGCCGAACTGAGTGACACTCACGGGAAGCCGCTCTGGGCCTAGAATGGACTTTTCCACATTTCGGCCGTGTGATTCAGGTCTGGTCTTGGGTTAAGGGATAATTCGGTTGCTGCTATTGCTGGGCGGCAGCACTGGGGGTCTGAAAATCCTGCCCATCTACAAGGTTTGCAGGTGGAGCGACCCGTCTGCCCACCCCCCTCCATGGGGTGACTGTCACTGGGAGTCAGCCCCACAGGTTGGTTTTCTTCCGGCGTGATTCACAAGTACATTCCAGGACCTCCTTCTCCAACCCTCCCAGGAGGGGTGCGCTCAGGGTGTGCTCCCGGGGGGGTCTGCACAGGGGTGGGGGGCTCAGAGCCCAGCAACCAAGGAGTGGGTAGTCCCACAGAGAGAGAAATGCAGCCCTCGACTGCTCCACCAAACTTTTCTCCGGGACTCCAGGATGCGGCGGGCTGAGCTCCTCAGCAAGGGGCCCGATTCTGGCCGTGATCCCCCCCGTTAAGCCCCAGCTCGGAGCAGCTTTCTTGGGAACCGGCGCCCTCCGCCGCCAGCTGCTCTGCTCTTCCCTTCGCAGCAGGGAAGCCAGCACAGAGGGTGCCCAGCAGGCTTCTCGGTGGGAGGAGGCGAGGCCGCGGGCTCCGAGTGGGGACCTCCAAGTCTGTGGACCCAAAAGTGTGGCAGCACCTGGACGCCTCCTCTCTGGCTATCGGTGCCCCCGGCGCTCATCGCCTCTTGCAGGATCCCGCCCCAGTGAGCCTGGCCAAGCAGGGCTTCCCTCCCCCTCCTCACTTTACCTGGCAGCTCCCCACAGCAACCTGCCCCTGCCCCAGCCCCCCCTCGCCGCTCCCTCACCACCACCCGTGCCGCCCCCATACCCTTCAGAAAGCCCCCCTCAGGGTCCTCGGGGGATGTGCGGAGCAGCACCTTCAGCAGCCCCGCTGCACACAAGGACCGCCCGGTCCTGGATCGGGTCCCCCAACTTGGCTGGCCCCCTCGCCCCCGGTCTGTCCCGCACCGCACCCCCCAGGTACCTCGATCAGCTCCTCTGTCCAGACTTTTCGGTCCATCTTGAGGCTCCGCACTTTGGTGACGCTGGGCCCCAGGCCCCGGTGTTCCCCTGCGGCGGGAGCAAAAGGAAAACGCGCCACGTCACAGCGGGACAGGGCGGGGGGCCGGAAGGAGATGCTCGGAAATGCCATTCGTGCCCCCAGGACAGGCGAGCGGAACCACTAAATATCCCGCGGGTGGTGGACGCCCCCTTGCTGGGCCGGGTCCCCGAGGAGGTGGGGCCAGCCAGCTCAGGGCACTCCTGGGCGAGACGGATCATCGGGCCCACTTCAGTCGGGGTTCAGGCCAGGCCAGGCGGGCGGACGGCTCTGGCCGCCCTGCGGGGCGACTTCTGGCAGGAGGGAGCCGGGAAGCGCGACCCTGCAGAGGCTCCTGGCCTCTGGGCACCTCGGACCCCATCGGCCACGGCACCTCTTGGGGGTGCCTGGCTGGGCGTGGGGGCTGCTGCAGGCCAGCCTCAGAAGGCGCTGCTGGGGGAACTTCGCTCTGCCCCACGGAGTCTCCCGGGGTGGGTCTCGCCCCACACGCTGCGCGGTGAAGCGCAGTCACCGGCACGCAGCCAAGGTGCCGCTCTCTCGACTCCCCTTTCCATCTTCGGCAGGCGAGGCCAAGAGCGGGCCAGACCGTGCCCTCTGTGACCGTGGCCTGGATCGGGGCCAAGGAGCCGGAGCTCCGTCCAGACAGGACTGAGATGCTGGCGGGGTTTCTTGGGTCGGATGGAGGGGGCTCTGCGCCCCGTCATTCTGGGCCCCTCCTTGGTCCCTCTTTGCCACTTTGCTCTCCATGAACTGCCCAGAGATCTTCGGCGACTGGGCACAGGGAGTGGACGCATGTGTGCGTGCGCATGCGCGCATTCACGTTATCCTTGTCGACCAGCTCAGTGTGAGCAAGTTTTCTCAGTAGACTGAACCAGCCCTGGTTAGTCCGCGGAGGAACTCTGCACACCCTCAGAGGGTGGTGTGTGAACCTCCGGCATGACTGCTCAGCCAGGGCCTCTGTTCCGTCCAAGCAAAGCCAACGGTGAGTGCGGCCGCCAAGAGGGATCGGCCCGAGGCAGGCAGCTCAGCGAGAACAGGGACCCCAAGCCACCCGCCCTTTGCTCCTTTGCCCCCCCCACCCCACCGAGAGCCAGGCTGCAGCCACGTCTGAGAGCGCACGCCTGGGGCTCAGGCAGCCCGGGTTCCAGTCCCCGCTTGGCCACGGAGCCCCCGGGCCACCTTGGGCCAGTCACAGCCTGGCAGCCCAGCCTACCTCACAGGGCTGTTGTTGTGGGGGTAAGAGCGAGAGCAGGAGGAGGGGGAGGATGTAAGCCACCCTAAGTTCTTCGTAAGGAAAAGGGGAGGTCGCAAAATAAATAGACAGACAGATGTGACGGTAACGCATATTAGGGCCGAAACAGAGCGGGCTTTAAACGCATTGTGGCACCGCCTGGTTTGTCTCCGTTTTTGCTCTTCAGGAGGCAAGCGCGAGGCCCCGACCCAGACTGGGACCCTAGCAGAGGCTTTTAAGCACTAGGCCACCTGCTCTAGAGTAAACGTCTAAAAAGCACAACTGTGTGTTCCCACTCATGCACTCCTGGCTCTGAGCAATTCCAAGCACGGAAGCCCCGCTGGGCGAGCCGGCTCCGTGCGGGCCGGAGGATGCCGTTCTCCGACACCAGCTCTCGCGGGATGCCGTGGGGCACAGCACGTGCCCCCCGGCCACGGCCACGGCCACGGGCCCAGCGACCTACCGGCACAGCGCTTGCAGATCACCACGCAGAGGTTGATGGAGCCCCAGTCGGGCTTGGGGGTCCCGCAGTCGGCGCAGAAGCAGTTCGCCTCCACCGCCCAGATCCGCTCGGCCACCTCGAAGTTGGAGAGCGCCTCGGCCACGGCCCGCTGCATGGCCTCCACCCACTCGGCCTTCTCCTGGTCGGATTCCGCCGCGAAGCTGCAAGAGAACGGGCGGCTGTGAGGCGCCGGGAAAGCTCCGCAGGGCGGGGGGCGTGGGGCAGGGCGGGGGGGCGGAGCGCTCAGGCGGGGGGCTTCGCTTCTCCCCAAGCCTCCAAGGCTGGCTGTCGCGTTGCGGGGAACGGACCGCTGAATGGCACCAGGATGCATGAACGGGGCACCACAATTCGCGGAACATTCCGGTCCTTGTTAATAACGGTAACAAATATTGCGGAGGGGAAAGGAGGCGCACGGAAGAGAGAGGAATGGAAAGTGCCCTGGGAACGCGACAGGGACGGGAATCTGCGAAGCCCGGCTGGACACCCAAAATAAAGGGGACGTGGGCCGGGACGAGGGAGAGGCGGCCCAGGAGCGCCCAGGCTCACCTGAAGATCCGGTAGGGCGTTGTCAGATCGAAAGCCCTCCTGTCCACATCCTTGACGTTCCCCACGTTCATGTCGATGTAGGTGATCCCGATCCCCAGGCGGAAATCCTTCGCCAAGGCACAAGAATTACGACAGGCAGAGAGCCGGGCGACGCGCCTGCGCAGCCGCACCCCGGAGGAGCCGCAGCCCGGCCCATACGCACCTCCGCATTCTTGTACAGGAAGACCTTCTCCCCGGCCACCACCACGTACAGCTTGTTTTTAAAGCCCCGCAGCTCCAGAGGGCCGCACTTGTCCACGGAGTCCACGCTGCTGCTGGCCGGCTGGCAGCCCAGGGCCCTTTCCGAGCCCCTTGGCTTCCTTTCGGCCATGGCCCTCTGGAGGGCCTTGATCCAGTCATTGCGATCCGCTGTGGGGGAGATCGCAGCCGGGGTGGGACTGAGCCGGACGGAGCTCCCCGCCGGGCAGCCGGAGATCAACCCACCTCTGCTCGGGGGAGGCTGGCTGGCCAGGAGTCACCGGGGCTGCCCGGCACAGGCGGTGGCCACCAGGCTGGGTTGAGAGGAACCTACAGGTGCCACGCAAAGGTGTGCACGGCGGCCCCTGGGACCCACAGGGCGGGCCAGCGGGGCGTGCGGGGAGCAAACGGGGCCGCTCGCGGCTGCAATGCGACCTTTAGGGCCTGCTTTTCTGTTGGCCAAAGTCATTCCCACTCAATCAAGAGAAAAACATGCGCTGCCGGCTCTTCAGAGAGGAGCTTCGCAACAGCCTTGAGCACGACCCCAAGATATCATCACTCCCCCAAGATGGAGCCCTGCAGGAGGAGAGAGTCCCCTGGGATGCCGGAAGGTCAATTCCCAAGCCTGGTTCTGGAAATATCCACCAGGCCGGCCGGCCATTCGCCTTCCCCAGCTGGAGTTTCTGGGCTGCTTCTGCCGGCCAGATTTTCGGTTCCAGAGCGGGCGGCAGACGCTGTCCACACCCTCTACCCCTTCCCACCCAAGGAAACCACCTACCATCACTCTCCGCCCGGAAGGCAAACGTCCGGTTGTTTGTGGCCACCTCAAATTTCTGGTCCCCAGTAGGAGCCACCCGGGTTATGGATGACACCGGGATGAGACGCTTGGAGTAAACGTCCTGAAACACACAGGGACACATTTGCAAGAGCGGGGAAGGGAGGAGCTGCGTCGACCGTGCAGAGAGAGCCTCTCCCTCCACCTACCCCAACAACTACACAACACTACACCTGCCTTGCCCAGCCTGGGGCCTTCCAGACTACATCTCCCAGAATTCCAGAACACTGGCCACACTGCCAGAGGCTTATGGGAGCTGGGCTCCCAGCCACCCGGCGGGCACCAAATTAAGGAAGGCCGAGCCGCGTGCCGCGTGATGGGTGACCACCAATGCGCTCGGCTGCCAGTGGGGACCGACGGATCGGGAAACGGGAGGAAGGGCACCGCTTCTCCTTTTTCCACAGGGAAAGCTCTTGGTGGAGACGGGGAGAGATTTGCGGCCGACGCAGAAGGGCGCGCTCACCTTTTCACTGTCAAAGTACCGCAGGTATTCGGCGTCCAGCTTTACCCAGCGCTTCTGGTAGATGTAGGGCCTGGAGCCAAAAGGCAGCGTCAGCAGCGGCCCCCGAGCATCGGCCGCCCTGACGCTTCCGAGCCCCCGGGAATCACAGCAGGGCCCAGCAGTGGCAGGACTTGCGCTTGCGCGGCCCGTGCCGGATCTGTGTCCTGAGCAAGCCGTGGCCGGGGAGGAACGCGGAGGGCCCTCCAGATGCCCGGGGCTGGAGCTCTCCTCCTCCCTCGCCTCGGCCGAAGGAGCTGCCAGCCAGCAACATCTGGACGGCTGCGCACCCTCCTCCCATTCCGGGGCCTTGGAGGAAGGGGGACATGAGCCCAGGGGTGGGGCGGCTTACCCTTGCGGGGGGGTTTTGTCCAGCCACCCGGCTTTCACGACCGGCGGGAGCGGTGCTGCCGAGTCCATCCTGTCTGTGCCGTCGCTCTGGAGGCTCAACGTGCCGAAGGGCTGCGTGACGCTGGGGCAGGGGGCAGCCAGCCCACACTCATTCCAGGCCCTGCTGCAGCGGCGGAAACACAAACGGTGCAGCGGCCCCGTGAGGGGACCTCCTTCCCAGGGGCCCCAAGGGCCGCGCAGCCTCCCCCACGCAAAGGGAGCCGCGGGTGCGCCCACACGCCTCCCGGGACTGAACCCACCCCCTTCTGCCGGGGAGATGCAGCGGGCAAGTTACGAGACCTCCCCGTGCCAGAGAAAACACGAAACAAGGGCAACCACAGGGGGAGGCAAGCCAGCCCTCGTGCGCAGCTGGAACCAGCCCCCCGAGGGAAGCACCCACGCTGCGTCCGCCCCCATCGGTCGCCCTGCGCTCCCTGGTTGCTGGCGGAAACCAAGATGCCCAAGCAAGGCCGCCCCCATCGCCAAGTGCTTCCCCTGAGAAAAGGCGTCCCCAAAGGGGGAGAATTTTTCAAAAAGGAAATTCTGCAGGGACAATTACAGACAATTCCAGCAGGGAAAAGGGCTAGAAGACAACAGAGGCCCACGGGGCATCAGAAAAAGCCTGAGGACGATCGGGAAACAAAAACGGGGGTGTGCAGGAAGCGGAAGGAAGGCCAGGCGACAACGGAAGAGCACGGACAGGTCGCACGGAATGGCAGGGAAGGCGCCCGGAAGGCTCAAGCGAGGAACGGGCCGAGGCGAGTGAGGAGAGCTCACCAATATTCAAATATGTCCAAAGCGAGACAGACGAAAGGGAAGGGAGGTCGGCTGCTCGGCGTGCGTGGCAGACGACAGGGAAGAGGCGGAGTGCTCAGCCCCCGCCGTGGCTCCGTCTTCTCCCCAAACAAGGACCACAGGCTTCCCGACGAAGGGCAAGGACAACCGGTGGGTGCGACGGCAACCCAAGACTGGCGGGCAAAGGGCCAAGGATCGCCTCACTGGGCCAAATGCCCTCGCACGGCCAGGGCCTGACGCGCCCCGGGTCACGCGGGAGCTGACGGAGTTGCTCTCCGAACCGCCATCGATACCCTTGAGACATCAGGGAGGGCGGGGAAGGGCCGGATGACAAAAGAGGGGCTAATCACAGAATAGTGACGCTGGAAGGGGCCTTCGGGTCCAACCCCCTGCTTGGCACGGACACCCAGTTAAACCTTCCCTCTCAGAGGGCTGTCCCGTTGGCTGCCACTCTGACCAGCTTTTCAAGAAAGGAAGGAAGAGGAACCTGGGATTCCATCATGCTGCCAACTCCCTGCTTCGGCTCTGCTTTACGTTCCTCCCTCTTGCGTTCTCCCATAGAGCAAAGCAGGATTTCCGCCCCAGCCACGTGCCAGAGAGGTCAGGGCGTGGCTGGGCTGCTGCGGCAGGGCGCTTGAGCCCTGGGTACGCCGTGCCCGCATCCGGCAGCTGCGCATCTTGGTTCAAAGGCCTCTGTGCTCGAGCTCGGTGCCATTCCAGCTTACGTCTAGCCAGGCCATGCACGTTCTTCGTCAACAAAGTAAATGATGCAGGAATGCCACAGGCACCCAAGTGCCCCGAGATCCAAAGGGAACCAGGCCCAGGGTGCATCCTTTAACATTCACAGGGAGCACCCACAACAGAAGGCTGTTCTTGCCTGCCATTAAGGCCCCTCCAGCTTCTGCCGACTCAAGGAACCTGCCCCTTCCAAGATGCCCTGCCCTGCACAGCCTGGCACAGTGCTTGCAAACTGGCTTCCTGTCTGGCATCGCTCCACCCCCATTTCTTCCTCCTCCGGCCTTCAACTTCCCGTAGCATGACTGCCATCTCCAGCGAGTCATGGCCTTCTTGTGAAAATCAGCTGAGGAAGAGGCTGGTGCATCAGAATGTGCTCTTGCGCAACCAGATGGATCTGATGACCATGAGAAACTGGAAGTGCGGGATGCATCTGCTGCACGTGGGCAGATCGTGTCTTTGGGTCTGGGCTTTAATGCTGACTCTGCCTGTTTCCTTACTACGGAATCTTAGTATTTATATCTTGAAAGTCATCCTATAATGGCAGAAAGTGAAGAGGAACTAAAGAGCCTCTTGATGCGGGTGAAAGAGGAGAGCACAAAAGTTGACTTGAAACTCAACTTTAAGGAAACTAAGATCATGGCCTCCGGTCCGCTCACTTCCTGGCAAACAGATGGGGAAGAAAAGGAGGTAGTGCCAGATTCTATTTTCCTGGGCTCCAAGATCACTGCAGAGGGGGACTGCAGCCAAGAAATTAAAAGACAGCATACTAAAAAGCAGAGGCATCACCCTGCCAACAAAAGTGCGTATAGTCCAGGCTATGGGTGTCCCAGTTGCAATGCATGGCTGTGAAAGCTGGACCATAAGGAAGGCTGAGCGCCGAAGGATTGAGGCCTCTGAATTGTGAGCGATCCAGGACCTGATTAGCAGAGCGATCCAGGACCTGATTAGCACGTCATGCTATGCTGCAGAAGGCCAGGGAGAAGAGGACGGCCCCAGCCCGGCCAGCCCCGGCGGCTGTCCTCCTGCAGCTGGGAGCCACCACTAAGCAGGCCCTCCCCCCACTGCCAGCCCCACTTGCCCTTGGCGGGGGCCAGACGATGCACAGTTTGCCCACTGGCAGACAAAGCGGAAACGGCACCCCGTGCCCGCACCCACAAGACGCCGAGTCCTGCCGGCCTGGCCCCGTGGACCTGGGAGGCGCCACTCCAGCAAGGGATCCTTCGCTGCCTCACAGCGTGTCAGGTGCCCTGTTTCCTGAGAGTAGCACTTTCTTGGCAGCTTTCTCTCAACCTGCAGTGACACCTGGGCGCTCGCAACCCACGGGCGGGACCCGCCTGCCTCAGAGCTCTCCTGGCACTGGCCGGGGCGCCCAGTCGCATGTTCCGGGGCGAGGGATGGGCCACGGCCTCCCGGGGCCACGAGCCCGGCCTGCCCAGCGGAAAATGCTCGTCCGTTGCGACCGCAAGCGGGACTGCGCCCCTCCCCGGAGGAAAGCCCAGAGCCCCCTCTTTCCTAGGCCGGCCGGTCCCTCGGGCCGGAACGCGGCCTCTGCTCCGAGCAGCCCCTCTGGGGGAAGCCGATGTCGGGGGGATGGGGCTGCCGGGAACCGCCGTGGGGTGCCGCGGAAAGGACGGGTGACAATGGCGCAGAAGCGGCGGCAGCAGATGGTGGTGGTGACGGGAAAGGAAAGGAAGTCGCAGCAGAAGAAGCAGCGGGCCGACAAGGAAGACGGTGGCCCAAGGAACGCGTGCACGGAAGCGCTTGGGGCGGCAGGGCTGACGCGGGTTCTCCAGCCCGGTCCTCCGGCATCGCGCCTCCGCCTGGCCGTCGGGCACGGGGTGGTGGCAGCGCGAGCGATGGCGAAGGGGGAAAGTGTCCCGCGAAGGAGCCTGCGCCCCTCCTGCTCACAACGTTTCCCTCTCCGCACCGCTAACGAACGCGCCGAGGCGCTCTTGGCCTCCGGGGCCTCATCCGAATGGCAAAGGCCCCTCGGGCCCCGTTTCCCGCCAGCCGGGAAGCCGACGGGCACCCTCCCCACCCAGCCCTGCCTCGCAACGCTCATCCGTAAAAATGGGGCCATCACCTCGCAAGGGCAGAACGCGGCGCCGGCAGAGCCCGCCGGAGAGCTGGCAAAGGCACGGTCCTCGGCGTCCGGCAGCACGCGCACACGGACCCGCTCGGCACTCCCCCCCGCCGGGCAACCGGTGCCTGGAGTGGGCCGTGGCAGCTGCAGAGCCCGGCTGCTTCCCCGGAACGGGGCCGAGGCGTCCCAGAACCACGGCGCATTCGCGCCTGAGGAACACACGGTGTTCTCCCAGAGAAAGCTCTTGTGTAGACCCGCGTTTAAAAGATGACCAGGCAAGGAAGCCTTTCTAGAAATTGAGCGTCTCTAGGGCAGCTTTCCCCAAGGTGGTGCCCTCCGGCCCACAGGGGCCTGCAGGCCAAGCCACCCAGGGAGCCATTTTGCAGGAGGCCGCTCGGACACGCCAACTCGGCGACCTGGTGCAGCGCCTGCGGCAAAATCGCAGCACGTGCAGGAGAGCC